ATTCCCATCAGCCCTCGCAGCTGGGTAACGTCCCAGATCCCGCCGAGAAATGATGGGATTTTCAGGAAACGGCGTCATCCCACTGTGCTGATCCCGCAGCCACAGCGGGGCTGGGAGGAGAGAGCGCAGCCTGACTGTCGCCCAGTGATACTTGGGTGCACAGATGGCAGCACGTTCTTTGCTGTCTTTTTCCTGCCTTTTCAGTTTGACTAGCAGGGGAATTCCTTAGTTGGAAATACCATTTTACTTTGTTTATATGTTCGTTTTGATACAATGATTTTATGGCAAAAGAATTTTATTTTTTTTTAGCCCCAGATGCAGTTCTTAAGGCTGGTTTTTCCTTTGCAACTGCAGGATGGGGGGAAAGATCAATGCTCTGAGAGTCCGGATGGGCACTTGGAACTGGGAACTGCCTCTGGAGACAGGGTCTGCAGGGGGACTTCCCAGTGCCACAGAGCAGCCAGGGTGGGATATTCATTGCTGTCCTGGCCTCAGGCAGGGCTGTGGTCACAATAACTAAGCTTGTCCTCTGCAACCTGCGATCTGAAGGTAGCCCTGGCTCCCCACCAAAGCTGTTCACTTGCCAGCGGCCTCGCCAGGGTCAGGAGTAACCTGTTGGGGCACCTGCTTGTTTGATCCGCTGGGAGCGTGAACAAGCAGCAGAAACTCTCCGGTTTTGACAGGGAGCAATTACATGTAATATCTCCTTCAGCCAGGAAAGGAGGCTGGCAAGGCCGTTTTTGTAACCCACTAGCAATAATTAAATTATATTAAAATAATAATATTCTCAGTAATAAAAAGTGACTTAAGTAGATGCTGGAAACTTGAGGTAGGTTTAGAGCTTGCCAAATTTCTTACACCTTTGCTTTGGGAGACTCAGGTGCAGGAATTAGCCCTATAAAGATGCCAGTTACAGGAGTTTTTATGCAGAAGCTTCCACTGGTTTCCTTGTGAAGTTATGTAGAGACCAATCACAAGGTTTGGGAATAAATTACACGTGTATCCCAGGAGTGTTGCCTTCCTTGCCTAATGCATTGCAGTGATTCTCACTGGCTCCATGTGAACTTCTGGCTTACAGCTGAAGCAGAGCCTGATGTTACTGCAGCGTGAGGGTGAGTGATACAGTGAAGCTGCAAAGGGTGCAGAGAGAGACATTATTTCTGCAGAAACTTGGACTTCTGGACCTTCCTGCAAACCTTTAATATTGGATGTGAATTTGTAGAATAAATGGAGGTGGTGGTGTAAATCAGGGAAGATTAGAGGGTGACACTGTTGCTAGAGATAATCATGTCATGGACATTTAATTACATAGGGCAGAATCATCCTCACATAGAGGAGGGTGATGTTCTATGATCAAAATACAAATTCAGCAAAACAGCAGTTTGGGGAGGACTAAAACCATGAGCAAGTTCATGCTGACATCAGAACATGGTATTTTACTTTTTAGCCTTAAATAACATTTGCCTAAATTTGCTGTGAATTGATAGTAAAAAAATCAATGGAAATATTTCAGTTGGGATTTGAACTCTTTATGGAAGACTTTTTCTTGCAGCGAGAACCAACTAAAGCAATTATTTCACATTATCTAAAACATTTATTTTGGGTTTATTTATCCAGAAAGATGAGAAGTCAGTTGATTTTCCCTATTATTTGTATCCTCTCTCATGAAGCTGGAAGAAATGGCCTTTCTTGGATGTCAGCAGGATCGGTCCCATTATCTTTGGATGCAATACAGCCTTCGTCGCCCCTTGCCACTTCTATTTGGGAATAATGTTGGATTTTCTACCAGCAGCCTAGCAGGCAGCCTCCAGACCGTCCTGCTGTTATTGGTGATTAAGACAGGGCTATCCAAAAGAATTGCTCATTAGAGGGTAGGTGCTGAGCAGACTTTAAGGAAAGAAGGTTGCTCACAACTCAGCTGAACCCAAGAAAGTGTGTCAAATAAATCTAGGACTTCTGTGTAACACACTTGTTGCCATCAGGACCTTCACCCTATACCCTTTGCATAACCATTATTTGACCCTTGCACTCCACAGGCTGGTCCAGCAGCATCAACTAAGTCAAATGTCTTGTTTTTTTGCAGGTCCTAGTACTTGCCAGCAACTCCTGAACTGGATGCTGGCCATAGCGTGCCAGCAGGGACACTTGGACGTGGTCAAACTTCTCATTCGCGCCTATAGTGCTGACCCGGAGAGCTGCGCGGTCAGGAGGAACGAGTTTCCAGTTCTGATACGTTTGCCCCTGTACGCTGCTATAAAGGCAGGTGTGTGTTTGCATACTGCAGAGTTCTGTGCCTTTTTTCTGCAATGTCTTTTAAAGAACGGGCTGAATTCTTATTCCTAACAGGAGGTGTACTGGTGTGGCCTGCGTTTCCTGGAATTGTTCTGAATTTTCTCTACAGTAGGTTGGAACACAGTTGACTTGGAGTCACAGAATCCCAGAATGGTTGGGTTGGAAGGGACCTCTAGAGATCATATAGTCCAACCCCCCTGTTTCAGCAGGGACACCCAGAGCATGGGGCACAGGTGGGTTTGGAAGATCTCCAGAGGAGACTCCACAACTCCTCTGGGCAGCCTGTTCCAAAATCTTTTGATTTAGCCACATTTAAGATGGGGTCCTCCTGAATTAAATCACTGAAAATACTGAGAGGCTTTTTAGTTTAAATGTCTTAGCGGGGAGGGAAAACTATCGAAAAGCAGAAACCTTGCAATTTTAAGTACTACTGTGATGGCTACTGTGGCATACAGGTTTGATTTAGGCTGAACAATTTACACTTCAAAGTATAGCTGCATGTATAGTTTAATAAAGCAGGGAAAAAAAAGAAATAGAGTCTAACTCAGTACTTTCACATAGTATCTTTGCTGTCTTGGAATGACCAAACTGAACTCCATAATTGGAGGAAACAGTCTTTACATAGTTCAGTTCCCTTTTTTGCACACTCCCATGCAGAGTGTTTTTTTTCAGAAGTGGTTATTTCCCATGGTTTTCTCTTCAGCTCTGCTCGATTCACATGCATAAGAACAAGAGAACAGACAATATTCCTTTTCTCTGAAGGGAATGAAGATGTAGCTGTGTTCTTGTTACGGAATGGTGCTTTTTTCTGCTCCTACATCCTGATGGACAGTCCGGAATCAAGCAAACACCTTCTGAGGAAGTACTTCATTGAGACAAGCCCACTACCAGGTAGTGCTCCAGCAAAAACAGTAAGTAGACATTTACCTGTCTGAAGAGATGCTCTTTTAAAGGAGCATCATGTTCATAATTGATATTTAACTTTGCACACCGCTGTGGCTGGTGACTTCTCAGCTAAGAGCCTTGTGGTTTGCTGCCCGTTTAGAGAACAAGTTGTAACAGTGGCTTTCATGCGAGCGCTGAGTTGCGTGAAGCCTTTAGATGTTATCACTCTGGCAGCTTCTGCTTGGCCATTCTGACACTGGTGTATGAACTAGGGTTACAGTGTTGAAGGAAAATGTGGGCTTTGTGCTCAAAGCCTGAAAACTCTGCTATAGGCTTCCTGTGTGACCCCAGGCAAATCACTTCCTTGGCCAGCTCTGTGCTGGCCAGCAGTGCTGCAGGGTGGCACAGAGCATGTAAACCCCTGGGTGCCCTGCAGCCACAGGTGCCAGTAGCTTTTGTTGTCACCCTCAGGACGTGGCTCTCTGGAGCAGCAGGGAGAGCCGTGTGTGATCACATCATAATGATGTGCTATTAATGTAAGCTCTGTGCTTGTCCCATGTGACAAATACTCAGTGGGACACAGGAGCTGCACACTAAACATTGTTAGTCAACAAGAAGCAACTGAAATTGTCTTATGTTGACAAGAACTTTGTATGCTACTTAGTCATTGATGGGCTTTCAGCCACTTGCATCTAGGTTTCTTCTGCTGTAAAAAGGGGCTATTTAAACTCCTCATAGCTCACAGAGCTGGCCAAAGGTTTAATGCATTGCAGTGGTCAGGGCCTGGCTGTGCAATCCCGTTGCCAGCTGAGCAGTAGTTTGTCCAGCTGGTAACCTGGTGGGGCAGTGATTCTGCTTTGGTGTTAACCCTCAGTAAGCAGCAAGATTTTCTTTGTGTCACAAACTTCTCCATTATCTGTTGTCCTGCCCAAACCCAGTCTCTGTTTTTACTGTTTTCTGATATTTTTTAATTATTGTTATTATGTAATTTGTTTGAAGTGTCCCAATTCCTTTCAAAGCCCTTGAGGGTGCAGCTTTGGTGCTTTAGAGCCCAGACCACAGCAGTGACTGTCAGTGCTGTGTTTGTGGGTGGAATAACCCAGCACAGGGGACATTCTCCGGGAGCACCCTCAGGACTCCGAGCTTCCTCACAGGCCACTTCTGAGATGTGGTTCATGAGCCCGTGGAGAGAGTGGTGTCAGAGACACTAAGTGGTGCCCTTGACCTTGTCTTGCACAACATTGTGGCCCAGCAGCCTCTTCTCGGAGTCCTCTGCTGCTCTTCCCAGGATGAGACGAGATGATGCAGTTCAGACTGACCGGTGTGTTTGAGGGTTGTTGTTCCTAGAGGGACCTGGCAGAATTTTTTAAACGTTTGAGTCACAGAGAAGAGGTCTGTGTTCCTTACAAATTAGCAGGCAATGTTTAACTTCACTGCTGTAATAAATGACTCAGCTTTACTGTTGTCACACCCTGAGCGAAGAAGAGAGAGGTCTTCAAACATGAAGGGCAGGGCTTAAAGAAAATAAAAAAGAGAGCAAGTGAGAAGCTCGACCTTGACCCTCCTAGTAGATGCTTTTTTATATATTGCATATTTAAGATTTTCTCTTTGGATTTGGTTTGGCAGGCTAGACCAAATTCAGGCAATTGTGTCCTAGTTTGTCTGCAGGTCTGACAGTCACCACCCTGATATATTTTTTAAAACACAGCTTCCCAATGGCTGCAAACAAGGAGCCTCAGAGCTTTCTTGGTGTCTCACAAACATTGTTCATCCTGAGCCCTGGGAGGAGGCACAAATGGAGCCTCTTCTTCCAGACAGGAGAGAGAAAGCACAGATTGTTTCAAAATAAGCTCAAAGCTTCAAAAGAGGCTGTCCCATCCGGGCTGTCTCACATCTCATTTTTCTAATTCTTGTTTCTGCTTTTTCTTTTTTTTTTTCTGGGTATAAATATATCCCATAAAAAGCCACCACCATGCCAGAAAGAGGAAGCGCTCCGTTTTTACAGGAACAGGTAGCAAATGTCCCAAATGACCCCCTGCGCCTGGGCACAGATTCCAGGCGTTCAGGCAGGCGTAGTCAGCATGGAGATATGTTCAACTTTTCAGTGTGTTCAGCGGTAAGAGTTTTGTTTTTTTCTTCCATTTCAAACTGGAAAAGAGATTAAACAGCTGCATTTTCCCAAGATTTTTATATACAGGGATGTAGGTGTGTGAATATTTGATTTCTTTATGCAACACCTGGGTGATCTCGGTTATGTCACCACAGCAAAGAACTCTGCAGCGGCTCCGCTCCAGACTTGCGCTCCTGTTACTGTGTGTGGAATTAGAGCACGCTCCTCGTAAGGGCCCAGCTGTGGCAGGAGGGAGGTGCTGCTGGGGCATGTGAAGCAGAAATGCCTAACAACCCTTTTAACCACCTTACCAACTAGTCTCGAATTTAAGTGACTGTTTTTCGCATTTGTAGTTCATGATTTGGCGTTACCTGCCCTGGAGCAGTGGGGTCTCTTGCTCCCGTGCAGTTTCCAGTCCCCTGCCTTCCACAGCACAGGCCCTACCATCACTGAGCTAGATGGTTTCCCTTCAGTCTGCAAGACCCAAGGGCTCTCCCCTGTGAGCAAGGCCAGCCTTGGCGGGGAGGGGACTCTGCAAGGGTTTCTCTCGCCCTTCTGAAGACCACTGAGCCACCAAGGATCAGGCCGAGCCTGGGGCTGGTGGGCACTGGCCATCCAGCTGCTGCCGGGTGGAAAGGTTGGGTTGATTCCTGGGCTCAGCAAGTTGAGCATCACGGCCTTGGGGCATCCAGGAGACAATTTTTTTTCTGTGGAGCTAGTGGAGATGATGAAGTGCGAGCTGGGGAGGAAATCCCAGCTCTTCATGGTGCTGCAGCCGAGCTTTCTTTCACTTAATTCTCCTTTCACTACGGACTGCTCAGCCAAATGAATCCCTAAGGTAACTCCCGTGACAGCAGGGTACACAGACCAAGGATGAATTTGGCCCAATATTTTGAAGTCGCACAAGGGGGTTGGCTGATCTCACCAGCCTGCAGCACTCGAATAGAGCCTGTCCATCCCGAGCTCCAGATGAGCAGGTGGACTGAGGTCAGGGCAACTGAATGCTGAGATTTTAAAAGCTGCCCGGTCAATGCAGACACCTGCCCACAGCTTTCATAGCAGGTGCTGGATTTCACAGTCTCATATGTGGTTTTAGAAGCCACTGTCTGAATCCCGCAGTTATCTTTGTATCACGTTACAACACCTTGGGGCCGTGACTCTGCATGTTTGAGATGAATGATACGCGGTAATCTAAATTCAAAGTAAAGATGAATATCAGTCTGAAATGAGAGGCAGCAGAGATGCACGGCCCTACCTGCATCCAGTAAAAGCAGGTTATATGTTACATTCTTAATGCATTGGTTGGGGTCTAGTCAAGGACAAGGCCCTTTTTGTACTGAAATAAGAGCCAGGACCGCTCTTGAGAGCATCATATTGAAGCACAGCAAGAACTGAGGGAAGGAATAAACACCAGCAGTTCTCCTCCTGATTTATTTTCGTTACTACAGCTTTGATGGGAGAGCTTAGTTAAGTGGGAGGAGAAGGGGTTGGAGTCTGCAGTGCGTTTTTCCTCCTGGCTCTGCTGTGAGATGAGGCAGTTACTGTCCCATTATATGGATTGGCAAATGGAGCCTGGGTAACCCCAGCCAGGCAGGAAATCTGGGGCATGGATGGGGGCTCTGGAGACCGAATCCCACATATAGGATGTGTGCATCCTATATGTGAGTGAAAGACCTGTGCACAGCTGCTGGAGTGGATTATTAGCTTGGATTTTGGGCTATAGTCTTGGGGTTTGGGGCTTCTTGGTTTGGTTTTTTGTTTTTTGTTGGCTTTTTTTTTTTTCTCTCTGTTGATTTAGGTAAAATGTGTGAGTAGTTCAGGGGGTTGGATCCTGTGGTTGTGGATGGGTATCTTAGGAGAGGTGCTACAACAATCAACCCACTTAATACCAAATTATAGAAGATAATTTAAAAAAAAAAAAAAAGCCAGTTTTCCTTCCCTGACTCCTTTTGGGCCATAGTGTGGGCCCTATGCAAGCACTGCCATTGTAGTAATTCTGTCCTCATAGGAGAAGATGTCAGGAAGGCCCCATTTCCATCTCGCTCTACTGTTGAAAAGTCGCCCTGAAGTCCAGGGTGGACCTTCCTGCCCAGCGCAGTGCTAGTCTTTGCTTGATGATCCTTGTATCCATATAGCAATAACTAAAAGCTTAGGTTCCTGAAGTCACTTAGGCTCCTGAAGTCACCTTTGGATGTAATTTCACTGTTTACTTTTTTCACTGGGACAAGGGAGCTTTGGTCTTGCAGCCAGATCTTCATCCCCGCTTGATCTCCTGCCTGCACTTTGCTCCAGCAGCCGGAGTTCAATAAGGAGCCGCCTGAGCTGCTGCCCTGAAGCTCTCTGGGTTACAAACCCCACGTCTCAGCACCTTCGCTACCAGTTTGTCTTTAGGGACCCAGCAAAGCCCGGAACTGCTGCCTAAGAGCCTGGGTTTTCCCCTAGCTACTCTGCTTTAACCCCATGTTTTGTCTGAATCTCAACACAGCTTTTTGAAAATAAGAAGTCTGTGTTTCTGAAAAAAAGGGCGTCAGGATGGGGTGTGCATTGCAGCAGAGTTCAGCTGTTGCAATGGCTGGTTCCCTGCTAGGAACATTTCTCATGGATGTGGAGGCAAACTCTGTATCCCACTTTCTCTAGCTGGATCTTTGTTACACCTTTCTCTGCTAGCTTAAAGAGGCAATTCCTATGGAAAAACCCCTACCTGGAGCACATATTGTGGGGAGAAGGCCCTGTCTTAACACTTTCCTAGGGCAGAGCAGGGTTTGCAGTGTGATTTTGCTAACAGAGCATGTGGGTTTACCCAACACTGTTGCAGAGGGCTGTAATATTTTGATTTCTATATGGGCAAACATATAGAACATGGGCAACTTCCTACTGCTGTAAGTCTGCTTGTGCTGACTGTGGCCAGGAGGTTAAACCAAATGAAAATTCTCTTAGAGTAGAGAGTAGTAGTGTTTTCAGGCAGGGTAGTGCACTGAACTTGCTCACAAGTGGCCAAGCAGATATCAGCACTACTGCAGGATTTTGCTCAGTGTAGAACTGGGTTCCTGCTTTGCCTAGATCTGGGGGTCTGGCACCCCTTGGGGGTTCTCGGGGCAGTTCGGGGCAGGGATTAGGAAGAGGGAGTCAAGTATCTGAGCACAGATTCTCTTGTCACCAGTGAGGCTTCCTCATGACGGGAGGATCTCCCAGCCCATCAGCATGGGGACACGTCCTTCCTGAGGCACAGAGTAGTTAGGAGTGGAAGAAGGAATCTGACCTGGGCGTTTATGCTCTTCTTGTGCCATAAATCCCAGCTGCCGCCGCCGATACAGTCCAGTGTGGTAAGCAGACTCACTGTTGCAGCTGACATACAGAATTTAAAACCAAGCTTTGTAAGCACCAAACTATTAAGTAACCAGACTTGGGAAACCTAGCAATGAAGCCGAATTCATTTCGTGCAAATAAAAAAGCTTTATATAAAAAAGTGAGAAATGTAGAAATGTAGCGCTCTCTGGGTACTGCGTGCCATATGGTAGTATTTTCCTTTTCTTCCTTTCCATTCTCCAAATGTATTCTTTTCATTTTAAATTTGAGGTTTCCAAATCTTAGTTATATTGGGAGAAATTGGACAGCAAATTGAATTTGCTGTCGGGGCCTTGCTGCCTCCTGGTGGTGACTTAATGCATCGCTGCACTGGGGCTTTCCCCGGGGCGCCCAAATCCTGAGTTTATGAAAACGTTTTGGGACTAACATGTTTAAAGTGGATATTCTGGAATGCAGATCTCACTAGAAGCTGATGAGATCCTGTCAGATTTTATTTGGAAAATGAAATACTTACACTGATGTGCTCACCCTTTCTTATAAATGAGCTCTAGTCTAAAATAAGTAGTTATGCCTTTCATAACAGCTTCTGTGTTTCCAAAAGACTTCCTCCTCCTCATCAGAGCAGCAAATGGTGACAGGATGCAGGTGCCAAAATCACATCTCACAAAGAAAAAAGTAGTTTCCTAAATAATACTGAGAAAAAATCCTCATATTTAGAAATGCTTGACAAGAAAGCATCTGCCTTTGCCTGCCTGTCCCAAACGTTCCTCTGCAGGACCTAATCCTTCCCCAGGATGGTTCTGGGCTGCTGCTGCTGGGAGGTTGAAGACCCAAGAGCAGTGCCTGGGTGTGTGATAACTTTTCCAGCAGTTGTCCTCCTCGTGGCAAGCTGTGACACCACTTGGCAGATCGATCCTTGTCCTCTCTGCAGCACAAGCAGCGATCCATGAGCGCTTCCCGCACGCGCTGCTCCTCAGAGGCGCCGCTGGGTCACTTTGGCCTCTGTCAGGTCTCAGCATCCCTTGGAGAGCTGGGCAAGGACGCAGGCCACTTCCCTGGGACAAGCCAGGATGCCAATGGAGGCTGGTTTGTATTATCTGCCCATACCACACTGCTAGCATAGGGTCTAAATGCAGAGCAGGGAGCCCAGCCTCGTGGTAACTCGTTGCATGTCGCTGGGTGAACAGGCACCTATGGGCTGGAGAGAGGGTTTCAGGCAAGGTTGGAGCTGGTGCATGGGCAGGTGAAGTCTGTCCTCGGTTTGCACTGGCTCTTGGTCTTTCTTAGGATTGAAATCCTGCAGTAGCTGTGAGGGGAGCTGCTGATACACAGGCATGATTTCATCTCAGAGTCAGTTAATTCCTACAAACAGATTGGGAAGTGAGCAAAATTTCCATACTCTGATCTGCCAGATTCCCAGTGGTGCAACGGGACGATAGCAATCAAGTGCGAGGGATTTTACTAATGTCATTTTCCGTCCTTTCTTTGCCACGCGCAGGCTTTGTGTGTGAACTGGTCAAACCTCAAGCTGCCCTGGGTGGATCTGGACTGGCTCATCGATATCTCCTGCCAGATAACTGAGCTCGACCTGTCTGCCAACTGCCTGGTCTCCCTTCCATCCGTGGTTCCCTGGGGCCTGATAAACCTGCGCAAGCTCAGCCTGGCTGACAACCAGCTCACGGAGTTACCCAGCGTCCAGTCGTCTGATGAAATTATTTGTACCAGGTGTGTGTGCTGGATGCAGCCTGCAAGCTTACAGCGAGATGGTGCAAATGAGTCAGTTGTGATTGTGTGAAAACATAGTAAATGCTTTAAGCTTTAAGCACTTTAATATGCGCTTAATAATCACAAATGCCTTAAGCACTTAATAAGTGCTTGAATAAGAGGATGTATATAGGGGATTTTTTTTTTCCTCTCTGTTGCAAAGTTTAATTTAGAGTTTTCTCTTTTTTATTCTCAGTGTTTCCAGATTTTTGTCAGAAGCACTTAATAAGTGCTTGAATAAGAGAATGTACATAGGGGCTTTTTTTTTTTCCCCTCTCTGTTGCAAATTTTAGTTTAGAGTTTTCTCTTTTTCATTCTCAGTGTTTCCAGATTTTTGTCAAGGTGATCACTGGGACATTTATTCTTGTGTTGTCCCATGTTGCTTCTGTTTCTCTGCAGTTCCTGTTAGAGGGGAGTTCGAGCCCAAGTGGACAGTCGGAGTCGGTTCCAGGCCATTCCTGCCTGCTTCTTAGAGGGTTAACTTTTCTAAATATGGCCTTTTACTTTGCCTGGGAAACACATTCCAGCTGCTTTCATTCAGATGTAGAGCTGTCCGGATAAAATAGATGTCTGCAGCAACATGAGTCTTTGCCAGTGTTTTCTTGATTCCCGACCATGCTCTGTATTCACAGGTTACTTGAGGTCGACGTGTCCAGCAACAGGCTCTCTACCCTCCCTTCTGGATTCCTACATCTTAAAAACCTTAAAAAGCTCATTGCTGCCAAAAACTATATGGAGAAGTTATTTGATGAGGAAAACGGTATGTAAGGTCCAGTGTTGTATTACATTTCAAGGCCTGAGTTGTAAGGGGGAACCCCAAACCTAAAATAATACGTTATAGCCCATACTAGCAGTAGATGCTTAGCACGTTTCAAGTGTTTGTCCAAAATATGTGAAAGGCCCAATTATTTCTATTGCTTGGGGTATCCTTTGACTCTTTATCTAGTGAGTTTTCATCACCAGAGTGCTATCAGACTTGTGTCAAATCTGCAATGTTTTGTGTTTTTAGCAACTAACTGGATTGGTTTAAGGAAGCTGCAGGAGTTTGACATCTCTGACAACAGGTTGGTGGAACTTCCAACGGTTTTTCTATACTGCTTCAAGTCCCTAAACATACTGAATGTTTCCAGAAATCAGCTGAAAGTGTTTCCAGATCCCTGGGCCTGCCCCTTGGTAAGTCAAACTGCTCGCTCAGAACCAGAGGCTGAAAAAAGCTGTAGAAACAGTGAATGGAATATTCTGTGATACATGTCTTGCACTAAAAGGGCTGTTCTGTTTCTGTAGAAGTGCCCCTGCCTGAGTTGGCTTATAATTCTCAGGGCAAGTCTTTCTAAGGTTCAGCTTTTGTCACAATGTTGATGGCCTTGTTGGATAATTTGCAGAAACATCTCACGTGGATGCCTTGGTTTTGTCTAGTTGATATGAACTGTTGGGGTCATTTTATAGAACACACAGCCTTTCTTCAAAATTAACTTTGCCCAAGCCCACAGATAGATCAGGCATATATACCCACACATCCCTGTCAGTGTGTTCCTGATTGTTACAAGGAAGTTAATGCCAAGACTACGTGGGTAGCAAGGGAGCGGTGCACTTGGTTGGCTGTTTGTTTGTGGTGGAAAAAAGTGGTGATAGTTTTCAACTAATTTCTGAAATACTTATGTTTTAAAAAAGAATTTTCCCATTGATGAAAGCATGCTACTCCTTGGCAGATACTATGTGTGTGCACGCACAGTATTTTATCTAGATTAACAAATCTAAAGAGATCACCTGGAGTGAATGTATTAATGCACTGAACATGTGGAAGCTGATTTACCTGATTCTTTAAAGATGTGTTTACTACTCCCTCAGTGCTTTTCCTTATTTGTTGCCCAGAAATGTTGTAAAGCATCTAGAAACTTGCTGGAATATTTACCTGATGCATTGACTATTTTTTGGAAAAATCATCTCAAAGAAGTGGATTTTTCTGAGAACTCGCTAAAAGAAGTTCCGCCGGGACTCTTCCAGCTGGAAGTAAGTGTCACTTCTCACTGTGCAGCTAGCTACCTATTCAGAGCTCAAAATCATGCAGGTGGCAGCTACTTAAGATAGGAGACCACCTGCTATTTTGTGGTGGTGGACATTGCTGTTGCAGAATGTCTCTGAGCACCCCATAATCCCCAGAATTACCCTGTTCCAGCCTTCATCCAACATGCTATAGCATCCAGCTTTTCACCCAGATCTTTAAGGAACTCTTTGGATGTCTGTGGTGTCTGTGGTTTTCCATCTTTGGGACCACAGTTTGGAAGACAATCACTGTATTGTGGCTGCAACTTCCAACCTTTGAAATACAGATTTAAGTGCTCACAAATATATATAGTTTTTTAAAAAAACAAAACAAAACAAAAAACAAGGCAAGTTCTTAATCTGGCACACTAATGTGGTGTAATTATTAGTCTTTCTTTTTCTTTCTTGATAGTATGTTTTGGAAATAGCTTATTTGAATGCCCTAAATAAAACCAGTTGGCATTTCACTGAGTTTATGTTTGTTCAGTTTAAATAGCTCTGCTCATTCCTTACTTGCTCATTTAATGAATAATGATGAATTCTATGGTTTATCTTGGTGGCATGTGAAATGTTTGCTAGGGAATCTGTCTCCCTTCAGAATAAATCTGTTTTGGGGTAAGATTTCCCTGAAAGCCTCCAAGCATATTCACCAAAGGTTCCTCTGCGTTTTGCAAGCTGCCTTGTGCAAGCCTGCCTCTTTTTCTCAGTGGTCATCACAAATCCATAGTTTTGCTTCAAAATTCTTCAGAATTTGTGGCTTTATATGGGTTCCATGAAACCCATATAAAGAAGCCAAGCAGAACTTGGTGGTTTCCTCCAAGTTTCCCTTCTGGATTGTGAAATATGGGGTTATGGAGTTGGAAATAGAGGTAAAGTTTTGTGCAAAAGCTTGGTTATCTGTATTATTTTGGGAAGGACGTAGAAGTGATGGTCCATAGCCTTTTCCAACTTGAACGTCAGGTCTACTGCAAAGAAGCCCGTGGCTTCTGCCTGGAAGCAGAGTAATGGGGCTCATTTGCTCCCTCAGTTGTTTTTAAATGATCCCTGCAGATCTGGCCTCTTTCTCATAACCATTTGTTTTCAATTGGCATTTCTCTTGAAATCGCCTTAGTCTTACAGGCTATTGTCTCCCAAACTTGTGTTTTCCGAACGTGTTAACACCAAGCCTGCCGGGTGGGCGCTTCCCTCGTCGTTCAACGCTAGGTTGTAGTTCAGGGCACCTTTCCTGGGGTGCTGCTGCTCCAAGGCTCCGGGAGGTGGGATGTGGAGGCTCCCAGCGCAGGGTGCTGGGGAGGAGCTCCATGTGGGCCCTGGCTGGGAGCTTTCCATGCTCTGGCTACCCTCAATAGTGCCAGTTCTTATCCCTGTCTCTTCAGACTCGACTCAGATAAAGCAAATAAGCAGCAGGGCTTTTTGAGTCCCGCACGCCTAGAGAAGGTTGTGTCCATGACTATCTGGTGCTTTGCAAAGGAGCCATGACCTGGCTCTCTAGTCTCATTTGCTTCCCTTGAAGAAACGTGACCCTCCCTGGGGGGACATGTGCGGGTCGGAGCCTGCCCACCCTTCCCCATCGCAAACTGAACCGAGGCAGCCTCATTTGGATGCTCTGGTGTCCCCAGGCCTAGTCCAGTGCAGCGGAGCCCTCCTTGCCCGCTGCCACGAGGTTGTGAAGGAAATCATCCCCTGCTGTTGTCTCCTCACTTCTGGAGGTACCTGTTCCCTGCCTGAAAGGCAGCAAAAATGGAGAGGCTGGAGCTGAGAGAGAAGAGGTGATTGCAAAGCGAGGCCTGGGGATGTCCAGAAAGAGTTGTGAAGAGCCACCCCCACTTGAAAGCAACTCGTTTCCCCCCGTGGAGCAGGCACATAAGCACTGCACAGAATGTCACCTCCTGCAGGGTGGCTTTTGTCGGGGATGGTGGGGGCCGTGTAACATGGATACAGTTGACTGAAAATGCAGCGCTCCGGCTAGACCGCACAGAACCAAGTTTGTGCTAATTCGGGAACATGAAGCCTCCCTTCTCCGCAGCCTCCTGCTCAGGGATATTTCGGGGAAGAAGTGCAGAACATTGTCACTGAGCAGCCCCATGCTGACACTTGGAGAGGGCTCTGCCCCCGCTGCCAAGGGAGGACTGCTGCTTTTTTACGACTGGAAATGCAAGCCAATGGAAGAATAATGATGATGATAAAAACAACAGCCAGCAAGATGCGAGTGGCAGGGAGGGTTTTACAGTTTGTGCTGCTCTCGCTCTCTTTTCTGCAGCGCTTCCTCCTGCACAGTTGCTGGGTTATTTTGCTTTACCTTCCAGGGTCACCCCGAAGCCCAGTGGTGCCTGTCCCATGTCACTAGAGGGAGCGTTTCGCATGGTAATTGCTTGTCCCACACTGTCCATCCTGGCTCCCACACGGATGCCTCATATTTTTCCATTTGATAAAGGGGGAGAAAAGCCAACAGGCTACCCCCACAAGACACTGGTGACTCCACGAAAACTGTCAAAAAACAAGCAAGCATCCCACACACCTAAAAATGAACCTTCGGTTGGTCCGCTGCAATTTCTGTAGGGCAGAATTTGTTAACGCTAAGGTTCTCATGGACTAAACAGTTTAGCTGACGTTCTGCTTACCTCAGTGTTCATGACAGGATTTGTAGACTAATGCTGGTTGAAATTTTTCCATAGAAAAGTATTTTCAGTGGAAAACAGGATTTTCAGCCAAATTAGAATGTTTGTTTCAACCTCAACATTATTTTTAAAAGAATATGGAAGAGCAAAAACTTCATAAATCTGATGGGAACCATTTTATTTTTCTTTTATACTTAAGTTTAAAGGAGAACTTGTGTTTAACCTTATTCAGAGTATTTGCAGCTGAGTCCTTTCTATGTGGTGTTGCTTTACATGTCAGATTTAATTCTTGTTAAAGTTTCTCTCTGCAGTCTGTGCGTGGGAAAAAGTAAGTAGGTAAATTGTGCAAATCATGAAAAGTTAATTTAAATCCTTACCATTTTTATTTGACATGCAAGAACAAGCAATTATAAATTCTTCCTGTGTAAAATATTCCACATGTTGCATGTTGATCTTACACATAGACAACAGGTGAAAGCTTCCTGTGCTAATTATAAATTCTTCCTGTGTAAAATATCCCACATGCTGCATGTTGATCTTATACATAGACAGGTGAAAGCTTCCTGTGCCATTAGCCTGCACACACGTATTAGACTTCTCGTCCATATGTGGCAGCTGGCGTATGTAAATCATACCATTCTCTTCCATTTGGGAAAATCTCCTTAATCTAAGTAACATGTTCTCCTAAATGGATCATTTCCAGTCTTACTCTTCAGCGAGTAGAATAGTAATCTCCCAAAACTAACAGTGGTGTAGCTTTTTGCAGCAAGTACGCTGCTGGAGACAAGAAGGAAACGTGTGCATGCTGGGCAGCCTGGACAGGATGTTCTGATGAATAAGATGTACTTTCCTTGTGTTATTTAACAACCATATTAAAAAAACGCTTTCTGTGTGGTTGATGGACTCTGTCTCCTAACTCCAGGCTTTTCCTCTTTTAGGCTTTGGTGTCTCTGAAGTTGCTGGGAAATCAGTTATCTGCATTGCCTTCGCCAGATAAGTGGAACTGCAAGCAACTTAAAACACTGGATCTTTCTAAAAACCAACTTGGGAAGTGAGTATTTCTTTTAAATTGCATCTCAAAAAACAAAGGCTGAAGAAATAATAGAAAACCCGATCTCTTGTGTAACACAAAGGGTGTCAGTGGTGAATTAATTACCTGCATAGAAAGCATTGATATCCACATACCACAACTCTGAAGTATATTGTGTGTCTGTGACAGTGATGAATTATCCTTTTCTGGTCCTTTGGATTTTTAGCACTGTATCATTTATTAAGTGGATAGATTACTCATAATGGCAGTTTAATTTCAGAACTTATAGAACTTTCTTTAACCCAGCGTTTTGTTCATCACTACAAATACTAGTTTGTGGGGAGTGTATCTTAACCATAAACCATCTGGTTGGGCTGCAGTTTGTAGTCAGCGTGGGAGTTTTGTTTTGGAAAATATGAAAAATCTTTGTTTTTTAAATGGAAGCGTAACCAGCTGCAAGTTCATAGAGAAAATGACGTTAATGGGGTCATCCAATAAAAAAGTGATGTTCTACTTAGAAGCTACAACAAGGTTGTTTAATATAGAGACTTAAAAGTCTCTTCCCCGCTCCAGAACTACTTTTAGTTGTGTCGTACAAGCATACAAACTTCTGGACAGGCACCCAAATGAGAAGAAGAATTTCTTGGGGTCTTTAGGAGCTGCTGTGGCAGTTGATAAATACAAATTAGTATTTTGGAATGTCTCAGTGCATTTCCAGAGTTGCGTTGCTGGGTTATCTTCTCCGAGACCGCCAGGTGAGAGCAGGGAATGGCAGCAGGTCAGTTCTCCAGTGCTTCTCGGGAAGCTTGTTCAATTTGCTGTGTGACAGCGCCTTAACCTTGACACCAGTAAAGCCAGGGGTCAAGTGCTCTCACCCGGGGAGCTGAAAGCGCTGCCTTGCAGAGCACTGTTAGTTTGCCAGAAGAAAGTCACTGGGCCTGGACAAGTGCTGGTGGAGTCGAACTCCATGATTGCGCTTTGGGGCTCCGGTCCCATCGCTTAGAAACTGAGGGGAACCCGTAGGAGGGCCTGACCCTGCGCTGCATGGACTGCACAACTGCAGCATGGCCCTGAACTGCTCTTTTTTTCCCCATGTTGTCATTTGGTTTTGCCCACAGGAATGAAGAGGGATTTAAAACAAAGCGGATTCCCTTTTTCACCACGAAGAGCCGGGCGCGCTCTGGCCCCGAGGCAGGTAAGGTCCATGGCAGAGTCCTGCCCGGAGCGGGTGCAAGGGAGAGAAGGGCTGAGGAAGCCAGGTGAACTGAGAAAGGATCTGGGCGGATTGGCTAGGGGGAAATCACCGGGAGCTCAGCTGCTGTTTGAACTGCAACAGCATCTAAATAGAGAGAAAGTTTGTTTAGCTAAATTATTAAAGAAGTGCTGCAAGCACTTGGTGTCATCAGTATGGGAAGGTGAAGAATGCGTGAACTGAAACCTGTTTCTTTCACTGGATTTCTGTTCTTTAAGATTATTCTTTTTAGCCAGAATGTTTACTGGTATATTCAGAGGGGGAATTGACCCATAGTTAGTGTTATTACTCTTTGCAGGATTTCTGTGTTTGAATTTGAACATTGTTCTTTTCCCCTTGTCTCTCTGATTTGCACCAAAAGTTTGAGGCAGAGCAGAACAGATTTTCTGGATTAGTGCACGTGAAATCCCAGAGAGAACAAAAGACTATTTGAAGACACTTGCACTGCTCCCTGCTCTCCGTGGGATTCATCTGCATTTCTTTTTGCTTGTTTGTTTTATTTTAAAGCGCTTGGAGAGCTTTCTTATATTTGGCTGACTGAAGAATGGCTTGTTCTAAAGCATTCTTTGGGAATTGCAGAGTGGAAGAGAGCTGGCGTCTTCGTGCTGCACCCCAGAGCAGTCCTCAGCTGCTTGCAGGGGGAAGAAATCTGTCTGCAGCAAATGCTGTCTTAGTCTGTTCCCCCTGAAAATTGTGTGTGGTCTCAGGTCAACATTCATAGGTAGAAGTGGTAAATGTACCAAGTTACAGTAAGGGATAAGTTGATTCAGTGTAGCCATAGCAGTTAGTTTTAAGCTCTAGCTGGCTCTTCTGGAGGAGAGAGGCTCTACCTGGACTTCCAGACGAGGATGTCTGACCACATCTGGCATCTGTGGAAGCAGAGGCTGCTGTTGGGCACCCTCATGAGGAGAAGAGGTTGGTCTGTGTTGTTTTTGAAATAGGAAATGGAAATACAAATGCTGCGATGTCAGTGAAATCCGGAATGCAGAAACAGGAACTGGAAGCAGGAATCTGAATCTCCCAAACGTGTGGAGCCTGAGACACCCTCGGTTCTCCCTGCTGCAGCAGCGTTTCCCAACAGGGAGAGAAGGGCAGAGTGCTGCTGGAGTCTGCTAAAAGCAGCTGCAAGGGGAATTGCAAGGCCAGCATCACCCTGCTGCGTAAGGGGAGGGTGGACTCTGCGTTGGTGCCACCAGAGCCATGGCACAGCACACCCTGGTGCAACGCAGAGTGCCTGAGGTGGCGTCGGGGGGCAGCAGGGCCCTGGGGAGCCCTCCTGGCTGGTGCCAGGGTGGAGGAGCCGCAGAGACGGAGCGAAGCCGCCTCATCTTCTTCTCTCTGTTCCTGTGCCAAGTATAGCTTGGTGAGACTAGAGGATGCGGCCAAGAATTTAAAGAACATCGAGAGAAAACAGAAGCTGGAATACATCAGCTGCTCACAGAAATCTCTTAGCAAGGTGGGGGGCAAGTTTTGCTATGTTTTTACCAACAAAGCTATTTACTCAAGTCTAGATTATTTAAAGAGAATAATTTATGGATGCTTACTATACTCAATTGATAAATCTCAGAATAACTCCATGCACATGCATGTGGTGTGTGTGGCATTTACTCATCCAAAAATACAGTTTTGAGATGGGGTTTTGTTTTAATTTTTCTGCAGTTCTTTAAAAGCACATCTGAGCTGAAGCCAAAGAAGTCATAAATAACTCATGAATAAATAATTGCCATTCATAAACACCTTGAGCCTGCGTCCAATATAGTACACTTCTTTCCGCCTTGAACTCTTTAGAGAGTACTGAGAGTATTACTATTTTAGGTACTTGCTCCTACATGTCTAAGAGAAACTAAATCTGTCTGTGCCTAGGTGCAAACTGATGAGGAACAATGAAAAGTTTAAGTCCAGCGATGAGGCAGAAGGGAAGTGAATTGGATCCATGAATAAGCCTGCTGTGCTCCTAAAATAATCCCAAAGATGATTTTTTATGTGAAAACTCAAAGGCAGACTGTGACATGCTGCCCACACCAGACAGTCCTGTCACATATATAAAACACCCTGCACACAGTAGGACTCTATCTTGCTCCTCTTCTGATCTTAGTTGTTAATATTGGAACTGGGGAACTTTTCCCTGAGAAAACTTCTTCCATTTTCTTTTTCTTTTTTTTTTTTTTCTTTTCTGGCTTAGTTACAGATCCTCAAGTCTTCTCTGTAATGGAAAAATATCTTGGTGGAAGTGCAACTCTCCTGTGCTTGAGAAAGGATGTGTTGCAGGTCTCAGAGAGTTGCTTTTATTGATGTGGGGGCAGCAGCTGGTACTGGTTGTACTTCACTAATCAGAGACCCCAGATCTGCATGTCCTTGTGTGGCCTAATCCTCCTTAACTTCAGGATGCTTCTTGGTAGATATATGTGACGCTCAAGACAGCAACACAATTCATGGCAGCTTTTTATGCCACTATCCCTGGAGTAATTTGTGGAGCAAAGCGATGTTTTTTGGAACCAGTTGGATTTTCCTTTGTCTGAACCTCTCCAGCTACAGCAGTTCGGCCACGCAGTTGTCACTCTTGCTTGAGCTGCTCCCAAAATGTGCTGGTTCCTGTTCAAACACACAGGAAGACTGAAGTGCCCCAAGCCCTTACAGTGTAAAACAGACCAGAGGAGCTAAGACAGACAGTGTTTTGCGGTTGATGTTGGGTTCGAGTCTGTCAGCTGCAGTTTGGCTTTTCCTCTGCGTTGTTGCTGACTTGACGTGTTAGTCCAGGCTGCAACATGGGGACCTCAACATCATTCTGACCAGTTTCTGATTTTCCTCAGGCAATATATATATATATATATATTTTTTTTAAAAAAAAGAACACATTGAAAACCATTGTGCTCTTGGTAGGTTGTTTCTCTGTGAGCTGTTGGGCTGGAGCAGGAGGAGTCAACAAGGTGTTATCAGCTATCAGATGTCAAAAAAACATAATACCATTCGTGCTCTGAAGGGAGGGTCTCTGAATAGCCCTATAGTTTCCCCTCAGTACCCCGGAAGTCCTAGAGATCATGTTCAAATCACTGTGGTGATTAAAATTGTGATGTGAACGTTGGTTTTGGTTGCTGTTGAAGGCCGCATGCTTTTCTGGCGTTGCTTTTTCGCAGTTCCTTCCAGCGGACATGACCTAATGTGTTTCCCACAAAGCTGAGGTGATGGCTTTTGGTGCACAGCCTTGGTGCCTGTTACATTTTAAAGGTGCAATTTGTTTCTTGTCTTGTTTCAGGTTCTTTTTTGGAGTTCCCAGCATTTCTGAGTGATTCTTTGGAAGTCCTTTATCTGAACGACAATCAGCTGGACTCTGTCCCGCAGTCCGTTTGCCTTCTGAAAGGTTTAACAGAACTTTATTTAGGAAAGTAAGTCCATGCCCTGGAAAAGCGACTCAGTTTTGTGTTGTTTTAGTGACCAGTCTTCCGTGGAGCCCCACCCCAGATGAACAGTTCTGACTTTGAAGTCAGAAAGCTGGAAGGAGCCCATGTAGAGCTGTGCCCATCATTTGCTTTAGATAAGGAGGCTGGCCTTTTATATTAGGGAAGATGATCTAATGTTTTGAGCACCAGCCTGGGAATCTAGTGTGTGTCAAGTTAATTCTGGCTCTTTGCTGACTGCTTCCCATGGCTTGTGAGTCAATAACTCATCATTTTTGCCTATATTTCCTCATTTGTCCAGTAAAGATGACTACATTTGTCTGCCCCAGAACATAAATTAAAATTATACATCACTATAAAGATGGAAATTGTTATTGAAGTGTTGAGTAGTCTTATTAAAATATTAACAGAAGATTTCTGCAAAGAGAGAATAATGTAATCTGAGAGTCCATGAGAGCAGCTACTTGCACACAAAGCCTGGTTGTTGGTAGATTTATTTGTTTTTGTACAGTAACCCTGGTATCCGAGAGCTTCCTCCAGAGCTTGGACAGCTGGCTAATCTCTGGCAGCTGGATATCGAAGAACTAAATATCAGTAATGTTCCTGCAGAGATCAGAAAAGAGGGTAAGACTGATTCTGTGTGTTCTTTATTACATTGACTGAACATATAAGCAAAACTGCTTCCTTTTAATGGTCTTGAACAGGAACAGCCAGTATGCAACAAACCCTTGTTGCTGCCAACTGGAATTGCTTAGGAAAACCTCCACTTATTTGCAAGTTCACTAGTCAGTGCTATAGGATCAGCTTAAGATAGATCCCATGTTAAAATGATGACCTATAAATGCAATATTTTATTTGCAGCATGCATGCTGGATAAATTCAATAGTTTGCTTTTATAAATGCTGGATAAAGTTTGCTTTCTGAATGTGTGTAATTTAGACAGTTCTTCTGAAGACTCACGTGTTTGGAGCAGCAGTCGAAGTCGCACTGTAGTGACTTTATTGAAAGCTGTTAGGTTTTTGGATCTGTTACAATACAGTCTTCTTTTTTTATGTGTTTTAATAAGAAAATCATGCGGGAATAAAGTTATTAGTAATTATTCCTTCTCCAGCAAACTGTTGAGGCCTAAATCTAATTTTAACTAGAAACATGAAAGTAGAAGGAAAAACTGAGTATTTTCCAATACTAAATTAGTTTTTTATGTTTCCTTTGAGCTTCTGAAGAGTAGGAGCTGCAGCATTTGTTTCTCCTTACAGTGCTTCATTGTAGTCTCTTGGAGCACTGACCTTCTTCTGGGGTCTCTGTCTCAGGTCCGTCCACTGGAGGTTTCTTTGTTTATTCTCTGGGTCGTCCCAGCCCACAGTGAAGCTGCAGGGAAAATATTAATTCAGCTGATGTGTTTTCTGCAGTAGATTTTGTGCAAACCATGGATAAAACCTGTTCACTTCCCCCCGCCAGGCCCTAAAACTATGCTGGCGTATTTACGAGCACAGTTACGCAAAGCAGAGAAGTGCAAACTGATGAAGATGATCGTCATCGGTCCCCCGCGACAGGGAAAGTCGACACTGATTGAGATCCTGCAAACTGGAAAAGTCCCTCAGATGATGCACAGTGATGCCACCATCCGTACGACAAAGTGGGAGCTCCCCAAGCCAGTAGGACACAAGGCAAAGGTGAAAAACAGCGTTAAGATGCTTAGCCCCAATGGAAGTGTTTAAGCCCTGAGGTGTCCCTTTTGGGCTGAAATTGCCTGACCTTTTACAAAAAAAAAAAAAAAAAAAAAGTTTCCTTTACCTGTTACCAGGTCTTACAAGCAAAGGATGTTTAGACCTGCCACGATTCCTCTGATCTTTCCAGTTGGTTATAGAGGACAGGTCTGTTTTCCTCAGTATTCAAACTTGACTTTGGATCCTAAAGAGCAAGAGTCTTATGGAGATTGCTTAAATTCTGGCTAAGTCCCAGCTTGGGTGGTTTTTGGACACTGAGTCTGAGAGCATGTTTCAAATCAGCTTCTCTAAAGCACCAACCAATGGATTGTCCCTTCATTTGGGGCTGGAAAATAGGATATCGGTACCTAAACCTACACGGCCTCCATGTCAGAACTGTCCTAGGCCAGGAAGGTGAGTGGGAGTTAGATGCCTGAGCTCTGCTGTGATTCAGGGATATCCAAGGCATACCTTAAAAACCCAAATCCCAGGCAGCTCATCCAGGGTGTGCGTCAGCCCATACTGAACTCATTTGGGCAGTATTGATTTAATTCAAGCATGTAGGTGGCCCTGTCCACTGCCTGCGTAATAACACAGGGATTGGGGCATGCAGATTTGGTCCAGGACTTTTGTTGGAGCTGGGGGTGTGCAGGCCCATGGCTCTCCCTTCCCGGATGAAAGCCACGGCCACCAGGCTGTTCTGGAAGGGAAGGAGAAGCCTGCTGAGTTCAGCTATTCTCTAGTGAAGAGTGCCAGGCCAGAGAGAGAAAGAAAAAGAGAAAGCAGAGCCTAACTGTCTAAAGAGATGACTTTTGTGGGCAAAGGGAATTGTGTGTTTTTTATTGAAGAGCAGTTGAATAAAATAAGAACCTAGACAGCATCGTAAACCTGGATTGGGATCAAGAGGTACAGCCAAGAGGCTGAATGGGCTTTGTCCCTACCTTGGAGTCTGTCTCTCTATACAAGAACCCACATGTAGTTCTTGGATGAGCAAGGCTGCCCTGGTGCTAGTTAGGGCTTGGTTTAACAAAATGGAAATTTTCAGCTGTTCCTGTGAGGCTTCAGACTGGGATTGTGCTAGGAGATGAGAGCCTAAGTGGGATATTTAACTTCTCGCTGAAATCTCACTGGGCAGCTTGTCCTGTTGGGTCAGGTGGCACTTGGGCTGGTGAACAGGGTCTCCTTGGTGGTACGTGATGCTCTGGGGAAGGTCCCTGGAGGTCAGTTTGGCTTCCTGCCCAACCAGTCCCCCCAGGGCCAAATGACTCGGGTACAAGGAACGTGGTGCTTCCTACTGCAAAACCAGGAACCTGGATACCATTTCAGTTGGGAGCAGTGTTTCCTCCTGCTGCTGCTGTGAGGCTGTGCTGAGGAGCAGGTGCTGAGAAACTTGGGAGAGAACCTGAGCTAAGCTGTAGCCTCCTGCATTCACGCAGTACACTGAAAACGGGAGCATCTCAGTCACAGAGGAACTTAACTCTGGCCCATCTCTGGTGTGGCGCGTATAACCTTGGTGGCTTCCAAATGCATCCAGACAGTGTTTGCAAAAGGCACGAGAAGCCTCCCTACAATCTTGGGTGTGTTTGGCTCAGCTGGGGCTGGACTCGGGGCAGTGGTTTCTGCTCCCCGTCGCCTGCAGCGCTCCTGCCGAACGTGCCACGGGCAAGGAAGAAGCTGCTCCTATTCAGGACATAGTGAAACACAGGGCTCAGAATGAGACTTCTGTTTGTTCTGCAGAATCCATGGCATTAACTGGAGATTTACCAGCATCAAGGGCACCTCTATCATTTTAGCAGCAAGTAATTAGTCTTGATTTCCTGTGGGGAAGTGGTAGCCGTGCTTAACAATTGCTTGTTGATTTTTCTTTCCTGGAGGCACAATTAGGACATTGAAACCCTTCTTGTATCATACATTATGCAGGCGTAGGTTTATGCTTCAGCTATTATCTCCCCGTGATTTACTGCAACCGTTTGATTTGAACACTTCTCTTTGTCTAAGTAGGTTGATTCAGTGGAGTTCAACGTCTGGGATATCGGCGGCCCGGCGAGCATGGCTACAGTCAATCAGTGTTTCTTCACAGACAAAGCATTGTACATAGTTGTATGGAACTTGGCACTGGGGGAAGAAGCTGTTGCAAACTTACAGTTCTGGTTGCTGAACATTGAGGTAAGAAGTCTCTGGTGGGCTCCAGAATATATTTTTATTAAGTAGTAATCCCGTACATCATCAGGGGATATTATAGAATCTTTTTGGCTTGTCTTTCAAAACTCCACAATCTATGAATTTTGCATAGCTTTTGGAATTAATTTTTCATTCTGCTGTAGGCGTGTTGCTATATTTAATGGTTTCAATTTATCATTTGCTTTGTTCTCCTTCACACACACATCAGAAAATGAAACAAAAGGGGATTTATAAACCCTTGCTAAGTAAGGCTGAACATACTTATTTTGGAATTAGTATTTGACCACACTGTGCTCTGAGGGGGGTTTAAAGCATTTTCTTTCTTGTGTGGCTTAGACGCATGTTAGTCTAGAGGTTGTTTTTAACACTTTATATTCGAATAACCAGGTGTGGCTCCTGGCCAGCTTTCAACTGAGAGTCAGAACTGCAGTGAGTTCTTTGGTGCTGCTTGTTTCTTTCCCCCCCCCCTTTTTTTTTTAACAACACAATATTCATCATTTTTTATAATGATATTCATTATTTGAAATGAATCCTGATATTATATATGCAGCCATGGGCTCTAAACCAGTGCTTCTAAGAAAAGACATTCTGGCATTATAAAAAAGTTAGCTAAATATTCAGCAGCAATCAAAATCCCAGACTGAGTAACAAAACAAAAAACATCGTTGTGGTATTTCATAAGTGTATGGTGCACCTGTTTCCCATAATCTCAAGAAACATAGTAGTGTAAAACAAAGAAAGAGACACAGAGATTCATACTGGGAGATTATTCCAGGGGAAATCACTGGCTGCTTACCCCATGCCTATATTTCTTGTTAGACTTCGGACAGAAAATTGGGCTGGTTGGGCCCTGGTCACTCCAGGCTTTGCAGGAGTTTGACGTCATTCAGATTGCAGTGAGCATCATAACTGAGAACTGGATTGGATGCAAATAAACAAATACTGCTGCATCTGAATTTTCTGCTATGTTCAAAGTGATTTGGATCCTCAGGCTGATCTCCGCTTAAAGCCTGTGCAATCCCATTGCATTTGGCAGCATGCTCCCTGCAATCTGGATACTTTCCAATCCTTTAATAGAATCATGGAGGGATTGGAAGAAACCACAAGATCAGCTAATCCATTCCTTTGCACTGATTCAGGATTAAGTAGGTTTTGACATTTCTAGCAGTTTATCTTACTTCTCCATATACCTCAGTGAAAAACATTGTACCTCGGTATCCATTCCAGAGCACCACCACCGTTGTATGTTAATCTATTTTTGAGAATATCAAAGTTGGATCCTCTGTGTACAGATCAAGCTGCGGTTCTTTTTGCCTTGAGCATGTTTCCCATGTTCCCATCGCGTTTCCAAGCTGATGCTTGAAAACTTAATACCTCATGGTAGCTCCCTTTATGTTGAGCCCTTACATAATAAGCCCAAACTGACAGTTATCTCATCTGCAGTAGCAACAGGTTATTGAGTCGTATTCAGTAGGAGAAGTTTTATAATACCCCAAATCACTTTTTGCTGTTGTCAAGCTACCAAGCCAGACTGCCCCCATTCTATATGCATATATGTAATTTCCCTGTCTTGAATACTTGCTTTTCACATGTCCTTGCTGAATTTACCGTGATGTAGTTTGGATTAGGTCATAGTCAGTGTTTTCCCTTGCAGGCCAAAGCTCCAAATTCGGCGGTGCTGGTGGTAGGAACACACCTTGATTTAATTGAAACAAAATTCCGTGTTGAGAGGATAGCAACCCTGAGAGCGTACGTCTTGGCTCTCTGTCGATCTCCCTCTGGATCCAGAGCAACCGGCTTCCCAGACATCACATTCAAGCACCTGCAGTGAGTAGTTGTGCCCTTACAAAGCTCATTCTATTTTATGTCGCCTTAATGTTCATAGTTTTCTAACGCCCAATTTCCTTGGCAACAGAGCTAATTAAAAGACTCTTCTGTGTTGCATTTCATCCCTTTTTAATCAAGAAATAACATAATATAATTAGAGGGAAGTTTAGCATAGCTTGGAGGTCAGCCTGGGTCTGCAAGCTAGAAGCTCTTGAAGTCGCAGCCTTGGCCAGCCTTCTTCAGTGCTTCTGCTGTGCTCAGCCTTCTTACTGAATAGTAATACAGTTTATTAATTAACTTTGAGGGAGAGGACCTGTAGATTGAATAATTAATACTGCAAAACTTAAAAAACAAAAGATATGACTGTTGTAGGGCGGATGCCGCAGGGTTTGGTGTGAAGGGGCTGCATGGGGATATCTCAGTGCCCGAGGTGGAGGATGTGGTTGTGTTAGCAGGGTGGGAGGCAGGGACAGTCCAGGAGGCTGGTTTGCGTAAGTTCATGCTCCTCGTACACCTTTACCCGTCACTATGGGCATCTCGCTCATTCTTTCTCCAGGGCATTTTGCTTCATGTCCTGCACGTTTCCCTTTTCCACCTCTCCATGTGCCTTGTTTCCTGCCTCTTCCTTTCCAGGCTCGCCACGGACCATCTCTTTCGCTCCCTATTGTGTGTCAGGATGGGGCTCCTCTGAGCAGAGCTCTGAGCAGCCAGGCAACTCCGGCATCCCCATGCATGAGCGCGTGTTTCCCCCAGCCCCCGAGGCTGCCTTTAACATAAAAGCTGTTTCTTTGAAATGTGGTTCTCCCTCCGCCACAGGAACATGTGTGGGATCGGTGAGAAAGACCCTTTGTTGGGAAAAGCGGAAGAGAACTGTCTTATGCAGCCAAAAAAAGGCCAGAAATAGTAGGAGTTGGAGAGAGCGGGGTTTTAGCTTAGACAGATGATGAAGGCCAGCTTTTAGGATCTAAGCATCAATTCCCACATCGCAGGATCCAGCAGATTGAGGGTGGAAAAAGGTGGCTGTTAGTCATCATCGCATCGCTTTGATCCGGGGCTGCAGAACCGGCCTCGTCTCCAGCGAGGGCTGGAGCACAGCGTCCCCCTGCTTCCTGCAGCCCCTTCCAGGATGGGGTCTGTGCACAGCGAGGAAGGGCCTCGGCCTGATGCCTTCACTCCCTCTGCCACAGAACCCCCCAAAGCTGTGTGCAGTGAATGAAACAGGCCAAGCAGAGTTGGCCAGTGTATCTTCTCCAGGCTTCTCCATTTCTTCCTCCCAGGCCAAAAATTCTCACTGAGAACTTTCCTCCCATTCATCTGGCACAGGAAATTTAAAATCACTGACAAGAAAAAGCCTGGAAAGGAAGCCAATGCACCGATAAGGTTTGATAACACCCACCCCTGCGTGTCTTTTGCAGCGAGCTCTCCTGTAAAACTCTGGAAGGCCTCGATGGGCTCCGCCAGCTGATTTTTCATGTCACGTGCAACATGAAGGATGTCGGCAGCTCAATTTGCTCGCAGAAGCTCGCAGGGAGATTGGTGAGGACTGTGCTTTCTGATGGTGATACTCATGCAAGGCGGGGGATGTTTTTGCCTTGGGTTTGGATAGGGAAGTAAACTTCAGGAGTTGCTACTGCTGCCACTGGAGGTGTGTAAAGCCTATAAAATAGCTGTCTGGCTTTGGAAAAAAGTCAGCACTGTGGGATGCCTATGAAGAGGGAGATGCCTTAGCCACATAGTCACTGGCAGGGTGATTGCTGTTGGAAACTGATCCTGCTGTTTTCCTAACATGGCTTGCAGATACCCAGAAGTTACCTTAGTCTTCAAGAAGCTGTCCTTGCAGAGCAGCGTAAGAGAAGTCAGAATGATGATGTGCAGTATTTAACGGACAGACAAATAGAGCTGATGATTGAGCAAACCCCAGGAAATGATATCAAAGACTACGAAGACTTGCAAACTGGTAGGTCAGAGCACTAATGTCTTGGAAATTAGTGTGTGTGACCAGTTGGGATTTTTTTTTTTAAAGAGGCTGATAGAGAGGCTCTGCTGTGTAGGAGTCAGGGACAGCCATTCTCCAAAGGGTGGCCAGAGGAGGGCCAGGCTATATATCATCTAGATAACGCTGTCCAGATTGTCTTCTAGTCTCTCCCAACCACACCGTGGCATCCTGATGCTGATCTATTATTCTTTTACTTTTTACAGCAATTAATTTTCTCATAGAAACGGGTACGCTGCTGCACTTCCCAGACACAAGCCATGGCCTGAGGAACCTCTACTTCCTTGACCCAGTCTGGCTCTCTGAGTGTCTGCAGAGGATTTTCAACATCAAGAGCTCCAAGTCGGTGGCGAAGAACGGTGTCATCAGAGCAGAGGATCTCAGGATGCTGCTGGTTGGGACGGGTTTCACTGAGCAAACGGAAGAGCAGTATTTCCAGTTCTTGGCCAAGTTTGAGATTGCATTGCCAGTAGCTAATAACAGGTAGGCTGACAATTAGAGATGTTCGACAGACTGGAGAAAAACAGAAAAACAATTAATGGCTCTTAATAAGCTTTGTCTTTGGAAGCAGCTCTCTCAACAAGGGTCTTGCTATGAGCAAAAGTTTTATATATATATAATATATATATATATATATATAGTTATACATTATTTAACAGAAATATATATAACAGAAGAGGCTCCTCCATTTGGGCTGCAGTTCCTTCTGCATGGAAAGGCTGGCGTGATGTAGATGTGCTGCAGATGTGCTGGGCTAGCTTGAAAATTTTCTAAAGGAGCCACCTCAGTGCGTTTTGTCTGGGAGTGTAAAATTTGGTGCCAGGGTGACTGGCTCGGCAGGCCACGTGGGGGACGGTGACACCGCAGGGATGTGGCAATGAGCAGGTGAAGCTGTAGTTGCTCCATGGGTGTAGCTGCAGCTGGGAGAGGATGTGAGCTGCACTGCACTCCAAACATAGATGGGCTGGAGACATATGCTTCCAATAAAAGATTCTTGCTCTGGAGTATGGCAGAAAACTGTGCACAATCAATAATTATGTCAGCCCAGAAAGCAGTAGTAGTTTATTTCTAGGGAGACCAGGGCAGTATAGCTTAAATAGCAATATGATTTTCTTATTTGTAAGCCTCTCCCAAAGGTACTGATCAATAGTTTTCCCAGAAATTGTCTAGGGAAACCTCATTCTCCTAAATGGTAATGAATCCACCTCCCTCAGACTCTATTGGCTTTTCCTCTGGGACGAGTTCCCTGCTATTTTTCTCTTTCCATCTGCTTGGCGACCGCCTGTTGTTGGGTTGATGGTGAAACAGTCGTCGTGGTGTGCTTTTCATGCAGCATTTGCATTTCGCTTCCTCGCCCTTCCAGGACACGGCAGCATCGCTCGGAGCCTCTCGGGAACGCTGAATGCCAGCACAAGTGCAGCATTCTCCGTGCTGTCATTATGCCTGTCACTTATCCAGTCCCGGATGCCAACAAATTTTCTCAGGCTTAACACAGATAAAGCAGCAATGTTTCTGCTTAGGCCAAACTGCCTTTTCGACTCCTTGTTGCTATCTGCCGTTTTTCTCTGAGGCAATTACATTGTCAGTGCCTCAGGAACAAGGAAACATTTTTTTTCGTGCCATCCAAGCCACATTAACAGATTATTCTTCCCACTGATGGACTGCAGCTCTAGCAGGTTGGATTAATTTAATGTACTACCCAGAAACACAGCAGCTATTTGTTATTGTGCGCCTGCAATTATTGTCTAGTTTGCCAGACAGGGTTTCTGTGCAATCGGTAGAGGAAGCAGCTGCCAGTTTCTGTCCTGAAAGGGTGGATGGGGGCATGTTTCACATATTTTCAAAATTTGCATTGGCTGTTGTTCAAGAGCATCGAATCTCCATCTGCATTGTAAACCTTTATATGCTTGAGGTCCACAAGGCCTCGATGGCCTTTTTACTCCTTATCTTCTCAGACCCTTTCTTAGATGGGCTGGGAAAAAATTATTGGGAATCGCACGATGCATCCACTGCTTTTTGGAGCAGGTACTTGTAGCTTGCTCTGCTGTGCGTTTCCAACTATGGGGAATGTGAATCAGCTTTATCCTACATGTTAAAGTAGGGCTGAAAGTATGATCATTCTTACTGTAATTTGTAAGTGAAGAGAATTTTTTATCAGTTTTAGATTCCAAAGATGTTTTAGGGAATGAATAATTTGATCGTGTAAAATGTCATCAGACTTTATGGACTGTGGCAGATGGAGAGAGCTGTTGCCTGCTGATGGCAGGTTTTTTGAGCTGATTTTTCAGGTTTTAGAGAGTACTGCAGCTGCTGGAGATAGAACGTGATACACGGCTTAAAACTTTGGATTTGGACCCAACATTAGTTCTAGTTGAGCATCTAGTTCCTGCCGCTGCTATCACCTCACCGTTATTTTGGTCAAGTTCCTTGGCTATTTGCCCCTCTGCTGTCATTATGCCCATCAAAGATGAGGCCCACATGCTGACAAATTTTCTCAGGCTCAACACTGATAAAGCAGCAGCGTTTCTTCTTACAGCCAAATACCATTTGGATTGACTTGCCATCGTATAAGCATCTTGGAATGCATTTGGTATGAATACCACTGTTTTGGGATGCATTGGCAGGTGTTGAAAGCTGTAAGCTCATAGTTTTCAAAACAGGTCTTGTCTTCCAGTGAGTTTTAGCTTCCCAAATGCTCAGGACCAGGACAAATGAATATTCAGTGCTTACTCAGAGATCTGAGAATGATTTGGAAACTGTGGTCCTCTGTACTAACATCGCTCTGCTGCTTCTGATCGGTCAGACTCAAATAGCACCGAGTCTCCCCTTCCCCACCTGGGCAAACGTCCGCTGCTGGATCGATACCCGGCTGCAGGAGGAGACCCCTCTGAGACAAGTGGTATCTCGACCTGGCAAAGCAAGCTCTTGCCCAAGGGAACTGGGAGGGATGCGGCTGGGAATCCTTCCGCTGCAGCTGGATACGGTGGGAATGCTGCTGCACTGACCCGTCAGGGCTCTCCGTCACGCCGGGGCTGGGACGAGGGCCAGAGCAGCGCGGTCGCAGCAGCCCGTAGCTGTCTCATTCCTGCCTCCCACGACACTCCTCGCGCCGTCTTCGGGGCTTAGCGGAGCTGTGCTGCTGTATGTGGCTTTTGCATTTACCTCCTGTTGCACTTAGGAGCACAGCTGTAGTTCTCCACTTGCAGACAGAGCGCAGATGCGAGTCTCAATGGGTCCTAACACCACAGCTGTTCCAATGACTCCTATATTTTAATGCATTTAATTTGTGATTACACAAATGTCCTTCCCATTACATCAATTTTAGCACTGTCCAATAGTCCTGGACGTATTTAATGCATCATTTGCCTCTGCTTGCTTCCGTAGTATAAATGAGCTTCTCCGTGTATTGCTCCAGTGGCTTAAGTCTAAAAGCTTTTATACGTGCAGAAGGCTATGCCGTTAAAAATCTCTTTGGAGACTGACTTGACTTATTAGCTTGTATCAAGGTGCTTGCTGTTACAATCCATAGCTAAAGTTTTTGCTGTTTAATTTGATTTGTTTCAGCTACCTCCTCCCACATCTGCTGCCTACCAAGCCTGCTTTAGATATCCACGGCTTCTGCCACCAGACCACAAACACAGTCCAAAGGGTCTTCAAGATGAGTTTCGTCCCAGTTGGCTTTTGGCAAAGATTCATAGCCCGAATGTTAATCAGCCTGGCGGAGATGGACCTCCAGGTATGCTCCAGGTAGCTCTCTGCGAGCCAGGGAAGATGGCTAAGGTTGCTGTTTGCTAACTGGGGAAATGAGTGTCTCTTCACATCCAGCTGGCTTCAGTCACAGACTTCAGTAGCATTATTTCTGTAAACAGGGAGAGATGAGTCTCCACAATCAAAAGCTGATTTTATGTTCGCAGTAAGTGTCATTTAGAAAGATAAATTGACACTGGAGAAGAAAGCCTAGGTTCTCTCTAACCCCCTTATAACACAATTCCCTGGAATGGCTCGGCACACCAAGCATCTTCCAATTATTTGTAATTGGAGCTCTGCCTGCAGCTCTTGTCCGTGACAGTGTTCCCGTGGCCCAGGGGCCACTATCTGCATCTGTGTGGGTTTAAATTAGAAGAAAATTATGAGACTGTTGCGTTAATGGGATAACGAGTGTGAGCAGGCACCCTATTAGTGCAGATGATATGCATATCATTAAAATAGTATTTGTAAGCTCATGGAAGCCAGGTGGATTTTGTTGTTGCTAGGGACAATTTTTTTTTTTTTTTTGCAGAAGCAGTTTTTATCTGAAAACATAGCTCTGCTGGAAACCGTGATAAAAACTTAGAAAATGTTTCTGGTTCTCCTGTGGTATCTCCTTAACAGTCATTCATGTAAACTGTGCTCTGTCACTGATGTACAGAACACTGAAAACATGATACTTGTTTTTACCTGGGTTAAAAGGCTGTCTTGGCAGTCTCTTGCTTAGCTCCTCATGGGCACTACATGACCCTAGAGCACCTTTGCTAGGGACCTCATCCACTCCCCACTGAAGTGAATGGAAAGTGCTGCAGGCATCAAACCAAGTCTGCAGACATTGCATTAGAGCAATGACAACAGTGGAATTCTGCAGATTATATCTTTGGTTTAAAAGCAAAAATGTATCCTGCATTATGAGAATATCTTAGAGAAAAAGCCATCCTCCTACTACTAAAACATGTGGAAAAGTTAGCTCTCCGTTGCAGACAAGTGAAGAAGTCACTGAAGGATTTAACTCTTCTTTAGGCTTATAGAAATTTTGCAAATTAATAATTAATGTAACAAATACCCCCAGTAATTAGTCTGTTTACTGGCATGGTATTGTTGCCTTTTGAGTTGGATGGAAACATTTTCACTCTGTAAAAACAACTGTTCATGTATTTTCATGCCATCACAAAACTCATGAATGCTGGTTGTTTTAGTGGAAAAGCTACAATAGTATCGATGAAAGCCAGCAAAAGTCACCATTTGGTTTTTTTTCTCAAAATAACGTCCGCGTGAGAAATTTCTGTAATTTATTATTATGCTTTTCTGCTTATTTCAGCTTTTTGAAAACAAGAAGAACACCAAGACACGAAACAAAAAGGTGACCATCTACAGCTTCACAGGCACCCAGAGAAACCGCTGCAGCACGTTCCGAGTCAAAAGGACTCACACTGTTTACTGGCAGGAAGGTCTGTTCGTTACCTTTGATGGAGGCTATCTTAGGTAATTTGTGTTCGTATGCAGCATGTGTTACAGGGGACTGATAAAGTGCATGGAACACGTCATCTGAATGGAGATGAATGGGCCTGACTCATGCTGTATGCTCACCCTCAGTAGAAGGGGAGGCTCTTCTGCTAGAAATAGCTCATCTGGTGACAACTCGGGACAATGACGATGAATAAGGGATTGTTTGGCAGTTTTGAATTTATCAACTGTATCTGTTATTGCAGTCACGAATGTAAAGAGGTCTGACAAAAGACAGCAATATTCACAGGAGAGCTCTTTGTCAGGGTGTAATCGTGCATCTTCACGTGAAAACAGGTCCTTAGGTGAAAGCATTGCTTGTTGAATTTCCACTCTACGGCAGCAATCCAGATCAGTGGAGGTGACTTTGTGGCACCCTGCCCTGTGTGATAGGGGCTATGGTCTAAAGCTGAAGCTGACAAGGTAGTGGACTGCTGGCCGCACGCTTGAGAAAAATCCATCCATGTTCTTTCACAAACACAGAGTAGCTGGCGACTTAACAGACCTTAATCTCTGTAGTATCTGCAGGCATATTTACTCTTGCAGTCCCAGGCAAGATAAGGAGCAATCACTAGTGCCATGTGGTTGGAGAGTGGCAGGGCCTAGTGGCTCTCCTGAGTCCACTCGGGCAGTCTGCAGCTCAGCAGAGCCTTGGTCCTGTGCCCAAACCCTGAATTCTGGACCATGCCTGCAGTCCTACTTTACTTCCCCGTGCACTAGGCTACAGGGAGTCATAGAATCTTTTTTTTTTTTTTTTTTAAACAAAGGCATGTTTCTTTGTGGAAATTACGCAAAAAGGGTTACAACTACATTTTTTTTTCCCAAATATTTACTTTAATTATTTGTCAGGAATTTTGTTACCAACTAAAAAAATTCTTCACCCTCCCATCTCTTTGGACATGACTTTTCTGTCAAAACACTCTCCATCCACCTTATTGAGGGCAGCATTTTCTGTTGCTTTAATCATCTGTGCTGCTTACCCGTCGTGACCAACCAGCACTTCTGTGCAAGACAAGGTGATCTGCAGAACAGACTGAATTGAAAATCACCTTCCAAGCTGCGTTGCTTTCAATTTTGATTATTTATAACCTACAGGGAATTTTGTAACTCAGGATATCTGAGATAAGGAAGTTTGCTGACATGAGTACTTCACAAAGGCTTCATTTGGTTTCTTGTGACTTCCTTTCACAGCGTGGAGTCTTCTGATGTGAACTGGAAGAAGAAGAAAAGTGGTGGCATTAAAATCATTTGCCAGTCAGAAGTGAGAGATTTTTCAGCAATGGCATTCATCACAGATCATGTCAACTCTTTGATAGACCAGTGGTTTCCTGGTAAGAGGACTGGTGTGATTTTCTGTGCAGTGCTGTGTCTTTTTAACAGAAGGTCCTTTGATGAGGCTCTCCAGGTGCACAGTATTGTGAGGCAAATGAAGATGCCTTAGGACCTTACAGTCTCAAGCCAATAAAGTTTGAGAAAAGCTGATAATGTGCAGACAGAGCAGTGTTCTTTGCCAACACACCTCAGTCTAGACATTGTGTCTTTCAGTCTTTCAGTCACAGCAAACACAGGGCAAACTGGACCTGCTTCTATGGAAATCCAAGACAGGCTCTTCCAGCGCTCATATTCAGGGTAGGATTTGGCCCAAACTACTTGGCACTGTCTCTTAGTGACAAAACTTATTTTGGCACTAGCTGGGATCAGCGTTTTACCCATAAATTGCCATTTCTAACACCCTGTAATTTATAAAATTGGTATGTGAGAGGCGTGACTGAGTATGATACCAAGAACTCTGTGCCAATGTAACTTCCTTGACTCCACCAGTTGTTTATACTGCGATCAGCAGAGATCCTGCTGTTACCCAGTGGGCAATTTGCAACCCCAAACACACTTTTTTTTAAAAAAACAAAACAAATTCTGAAGTGTTCTTTGTCATCCCACATGAGCCTAGGAAACTATGCCAAAATCTCTTGTGTCAGAGGTTCTTTTGAGGAGGCAGTGGTGCGTTCTCACATAATCATTTTATATACTTTATGAAGACAAATTTTATTTGCCTTTGGATTAAAATAAAGATAATATTAATCAGTGAGGCTTGAAAAGGGTCATAACTTCAAAGGTTTGGCCTGGGTTCTCCCCACTTAATTGCAGGCGTTTAATGGAACCTGTCGCTGCACAATTACCCAGAGTCCCAAAGGGAATGTTCCAAAGGTTTGGTCTTGGTGGTATTCGAGTTCCTGTCAACAGCACTGTCTCTTCAGTCATGTCCCTGCCGTCTGTGCATCGTTTGCAAACAGCTTTTTAGTTATCCTAGCCAGTACATTAGGGAAAGCTGCTGTGCTCCTTGTCGGGCTGTTTCATGTAGTGCATCCCGGTAGTGACTGCAGGTATTTGAGTGCTCTAGGCGTTGTGTGCACTACGTTTTCTGTTTGCTTGTTTGTTTTCAAGCCCTCACGGCCACGGAGAGCGACGGCACGCTGCTGATGGAGCAGTACGTGCCCTGCCACATCTGCGCCGCTTCCAGGCCGGAGGAGAGCGGCGAGAAGGCGGAGGACGCGCAGTACTTCAACATGGAGGACTGTGTCCTCACTGCCATAGAGCTGGACTGCATCACGTGTCCCAACCACCCCGAGGTCCCTGTTTCTCTTCAGGAGCTTGTTCCAGAGCTCTTCATGACAGATTTTCCTGCCAGGTAATGTTATCTGGCAGCCTTTGGTTGAATTTTAGTGTAGACAATTCTTTTGGTTTTCTTTTAAGTCATTTCTGCTAGAGGAACAGACTCATTCCAGGCTCTGACAGCCCATCCCAAACCTCACTCCTCTCTTGCGTCGGCAGTTGCCGTGTGCCAATCCAAGACATCATTTTGTGGTGTCTGAGATCACTGTGGCACAATGTGAAAGCCATCACTGTCCAGCACTGCCCAGTATAACATAGTCTGCCCACAGTTTTCTGTAGTTGGAGTCTTCCTGGGATTCCAGTTATGCCGTAATTAGGATATTAGGATATAGTTTGGATATACAGCACCAGCAAAAACACTTTGCTGTTGTGTCGCAACAGGATGGGCACTGAAATCACCTTTAGTTTTGAAAAGCCTTTAGGTTGGTGCAGCTAAGAGCACACACTGGGATTGAGGCCGTCACATACGGAGCGGAGCGGCCGTCCTAACCAGCGCGGCAGCTCTTCTGTCCCTGCAGCAGCACTGCCAAGTCTTAAGCTGATTAAGTGCATTTGCTGGAGGAATTTCCTCTTGTACCCCCTATTGCTTGGCATGTAGAGAGGCTTCCTGACCCCAGCGGGACAGCAGACCCGTGTCCCTTCCTGTGCACTCCAGCTCAGAGGCCTTTGGGCCGGTGCCGAGCTGCGAGACCTCTGGACTAAACCGTGTCCTCCAAGCTGCCAGCAGGACTTTGTGCACTGGCCACACGTTTGGTGTGGCCACCAAAGCGAAGCGCTAACAGTCACCCTTCCATTTGCAGAGTGGTTTTAATAGCCGCTCTGGGCAAACACCCTCGTGGCTCATCGTGCTGACCCTCCTTGGAGCGTTATCTCCTGTAGATTTAAGTACAAGGCAAGTGGAGATGCTTTGAGTATGAGTGACTGTAAAAGGAGTTTGAGGAACAATGGGGAAATGATAAATTGCAGCCTGGGAACAGTAAATGGGTTTGAATAATCAGATCTCAGAGTAGGGAGCTTTTCATAAATATCCTGTCCTGCCTCAGAAGGAGAGAGGGACAGGAGGTAGAGGAAGCAAAAAAAAAAAAAAAACGGTTAATACAGATAAGTATTCTGAATCTGTGTACCTGTGTCATCTGCTTGGAAAGGGAACTTGTACGCTTTCCAGATAATGCTTGATTCTTGCAGGATAAACTGCTTCAATCAAAAATCTCTTTTTGGATTGTGTGCCCAGGTTAACTTTTTCTGCAAGAAATCTACCGTATAACATGAGCCAGGGTACCTTGAGATGACCAGGGTAGTTTAGGTAATCCTGTACTCTCAGCAGAAAAGACAAGAACCTGTTAGGGAGCTGTGAAAGTGGAAATCAAATTAAATGCATGAATTTACAGTGCTTTTAAAACTTTTCTCTTAATTAAAAAGCCCCGATCTCTTTTTGGCAGACTGTTCCTGGAAAATAGCAAACTGGAATACAGCGAAAATGAAAACCAAGTTCTTGGCCAGGGTGGAAGTGGGACTGTTATATATCGGGCACGATACCAAGGAAAACCAGTGGCCGTGAAGAGATTTCAGATTAAAAAATGCAAGGGTTCTCCTACATCGGCAGCAGGTACATTACATGGAATCCTTGTCTGGGCATCGGTTCTGCAGGTTGCACTCGAAAGTGAGATCCAAAGAGCTTTCGCTCTCCAAAAAGTGCTGGCAACAGCTTTATAAATACGGTGTTGAAATACGTAGCAAAATGGGCTTCTCTTCGTGGAGGAAGAGGATGAGTCTTAAAAAGTCCTTCACAAAAGCACTTGTAAGAGAGGGAGGTGGTGGTCACTGGCAGTGCAGGTCCAAGGCAGAGGCAGAGCCCTTGGTTGGAGTAGGAGGCAAGTTCTTGCCTCTGCTTCCCAAATTGGTTGGCAATAAGAAGGACACGTTTGTCTGCATTTGCAGTAGGGCCTTCCATGTCTGCCTTGGAATGAATCATTTATTCTGTGCCATCACCTACAGAAGGGGAATGGGGAATCCTCACCCTGCAGCAAACCCAGGCAGGGCCGGGCACAATGCTGCATCTGCCTGGTGTCAAGCACAGGGTCAGCTGGTGGCCAGAAGGAGCAGGGAAAGGGCCTGGCTTACTTGGTTTGAGTCCATGAAGGGGAAAGGTACCATAACCCCTGTGCTGTGGCCAGCTGCTCTCAGAGTGGCTGGTACCTCTTATGAGGACCAGTGCTGGTGGGGCTACTTGTCTGAGCTACCTTTGGTGGCCTGTGGCAGAGGGGCAAGTCCTGGGAATGGCCTCTGTGCCGGCAAGATGACTGGGAAAGGGAGGGAAGATTCTTTCCATTGACAGGTCTGCGGTGTAACATCTAAAACCAAGAGAGCCCCTGCTTTAAAAGGCACCTCATGGGGTTTCCAAAATCATTCAGGTGACATGTCCCAGCGGCTCATGCACCGGCACATGTGATACTGTCAGCACCACCCCAGATTCTGCTTTTGCTCAGTGATTGCCCCCATCCACAAAGTTTCTAGCTTGGCTTCTCAGCTGGGGAGTGAGGAGAGCTGTGTGTGTCGTGCCAGATACGATGCTGAAGCACCTGCGAGCCATGGACGCCATGAAGAACTTCTCCGAGTTCCGGCAGGAGGCCAGCATGCTGCACTCGCTGCAGCACCCCTGCATCGTGTCCCTCATCGGCATCAGCATCCACCCGCTGTGCTTCGCCCTGGAGCTGGCCCCTCTGGGCAGCCTCACCACCGTCCTCTCGGAACACTCCAAAGGTAAAAGCTTGGTCTCCCCTCGGGAGAACTCGCTCCCTGCATTGTCGCAGTGACAGACGGTCGCCAACCCTGAAGCTGCAGTTTGATTTGCTGAAGGGGATTTTTTTTTTCCTTACTAAGAGAAGTGGGAGGGATGGAATTGCTCTTCTTTGGGAACCTAGTCCAAATTGATGCTCAGGCTTTTCAAAGCTACTTTGGAAACCTGAATCTTCAATTTCTCTGCCATTTAATAAGAACTGCATCTCACTTTAATGCTGCATGTGTAATTCTGTGTCCAATCCTGTCCTGTCCCCCGACAAAGGGCATCTGGAGCTCTAGACTCTCTCCTAGACAGATGTCTTTCTGTCACTGTTAAATGAATGACACTAATTCCGAGGCAGAGTGAGGCCAGCTGACCTTCTTAGCACCTTGGCTTTGTGTCAACTTTGAGTTGAGCAGTAATTTCCACTCGAGAGTTTAGGAGTCTAATGAAACTGTCAGACGTGTGTACAGTAACACGAACAATGTCATTACAAATTGTGGCAGTGAGGGATGCTTTAAAAGGTTGCTAGATAACGCTTAGGAGTTTGGAAGAGAGGGGAAAAAATATCTGTTACAATTACAAGAGCTGCAGACAAGCTGTTCCTTTGGCAGGGTCATCCTTTGTGCCGCTGGGACACATGCTGACCCACAAAATAGCGTACCAGATAGTAACGGGCCTTGCCTACCTGCATAAGAAGAACATCATCTTCTGCGACCTGAAGTCAGACAATATTTTGGTGTGGTCCCTGGACGTCAAAGAGCACGTCAACATCAAGCTCTCCGACTACGGCATCTCCCGGCAGTCGTTCCACGAAGGCGCGCTCGGCGTGGAGGGCACGCCGGGCTACCAGGCGCCCGAGATCAGGCCTCGCATAGTCTACGATGAAAAGGTACCTGGTGTTTCGGTGGGGCAGCCCCTGGGTGATGGCCCCGGGGCCCAGCTTGCTGCGTGGGGCTCTGTTCCCTGCTCACGGCAGTGCTGGCTCTCCTGCCTCAGCCTTCCTCACTTTCCATTGCACCCACGGAGGGAGATCTGCTCTTTTCTCTCCGGTGCTGGCTCTAGGTCGACATGTTCTCTTATGGGATGGTGCTGTATGAGCTGCTGTCTGGTCAGCGGCCGGTGCTGGGTCAGCACCAGCTGCAGATTGCAAAGAAGCTCTCCAAAGGGATCCGTCCTGTCCTGGGGCAGCCGGAGGAGGTGCAGCTCTACCGCCTGCAGGCGCTCATGATGGAGTGCTGGGACACTAAGCCAGAAAAGGTAGGGGACAACCCTCACCCCCAGTGTTTGCTGAGCACGTAGCTATGGGACATGGCAGCCTTCTTCACCCCATCTCTCCTGGTGCAGCAAAGCAGCTCCAAAGCCTCTACTGGAGTGCTGCCCATTTACTTCCATTGACTTAAACTTCTGTGAATGGAGCAGTGGTAGGCTGGTGGCCTTAGACGGCTGGACTGACATCAAGGTCCCTTCATGTCAGTAGCAGTTAGGCCATTGATTTCACCAGGCTGAAACATCACCCGTAGTTTCTAGAAACAGCTACAGGAGCATGCTGTGAATATAACTACAAAAACTTCAGAAACCCTGAGGTTATGAAATGTGATGTTAGGGGATAGGAAAAGGGTTTAAAACATGGAAAAAAAAAGGCTTATGCTGTATTGTATTTGTCATTAATTACGCTGAGGAGTTTCAGAGCTCCTGTGCTTTGCACAGAGGTCAGCTCAATTTGCAAATAGCTAGATAGTGTCTTGGGACTGGGTCAGCTTCCTAAATTCTTAAAGCTGAAGAAATTCCTGGATGAAATGTTAACAAGAAAAGCAGATCAAACCATGGAAGTAAGGAAGAAGTTTGAGCTTCAACATCTAGGATACAAAGGATGCCAAGAATCAATGAGGTTGGATTTGCACGGAGAATTTGGTGCAGACTTGAGGGTGTAGCAGAAGCTTTTTTTAATAGGAGTCCCATTTTCCCTCTCTCTATGTTAATAAATAATTATTATTATTAATCTGTTATTTGTTCTGGACTTCCATGTGCCTGTGTGATGTATGTCTTTCCCCCACAGCGTCCACTGGCCATTTCTGTGGTAGGACAGATGAAAGATCCTACGTTTGCAACTTTTATGTACCTGCTGTCCTGCGGGAAGCAGTCTTCCTTCTTCTGCTCCCAAGGACAGGAGTATACTGTGGTGTTTTGGGATGGCAAGGAAGACACCAGGTTAGATGCCTCATATTGGTAAATTCTTTCTTTTCTATTAGCGTAAAAATCCTTCAGTGTCTTTGCTTATGCTGCTGGGATGGAGGTAAAGAAGGTGAAAGTGAATTTGGATGAATGCCAAGGATACACTGAACAGTGTTTTCCCAAACTCCTTTAATTGGGAACAGTGGTTGCTTTATAAAGGATATTTAATGAGCTTAACTCTGCTTCAGTTAATATGAGGAGAAGATTAGGGCACTGTAATGATTCACACACACAGGACGAAGCATTTGCACATGAGAACAGACGTGTTCTGCCTTTCCTAATGAGGCCATTTAACACTAAGCCTTTCCTAATTGAAACTGCAGGTCCATCTCTGTTCTGCAGAGCAATTAAGCACATGCCAAAATCCTATTGAAATCACCAGGAGTTAGCCACATACCTGAAGGTCCATGTACATCCAGGCTTCCAGTAAAATGTGTGTTATACTGAATAGGTATGAGCTTTAAGTGTTATTAAACTGTGTCTGAGATGATGGTATTTTGCTCAGTCACATGTGGCCCATGGCTAGTCAGACTTTTTATAGATGTTGCAGACTTTTATAGCCCTCTTTTTATTTGGAAGCCATTCACAAATTGATTGGATTTTTGTATTAATGTATTCAATATTCGTAAGCATTAACCTAGTGGGAAGGGTAGGCGATTTGCTCATGTGCTGTTTGCTTTGCTATTTGTGGTGCCTGGTCAGTCATTCCGGGCAGACAGTATAACTATTCGTGCTAAAACTGGTGAAGCACATGGGACTCACAGATGTATTTTGAATACGTGGAAGCTATCCAAATATTCACAGCAATATATCTCAGTGAATCTGCTTCCTGACTGGACAGTTGAATTGCTGGAGACTGCTGAATAACAAATTACTTATATCTGACAGATTTCAGGATGTGTAATTGCTTGTGCTACAGTTGGTAAAACATCTGGGGCTCACAGATGTGATCGTGAATATCCAGTTGTTCAAACACCCAAACCCAATAAACTTCCACAAATTCAAAACAAATGCAATTCTTTTAGTTTCAAATGTAAGAATTGGTCATATTTGTAAATGATTTTGTTGGGTTACAGATCTTTGCTCTTATTTGGGAGAACAGTGCTGTTTTGTTTGTGCCCTAGAATAAGCACTGAAGTAAGAGAATACCAAGGCAGCGCGCTGGGAGAATAAGCACATATTCTCCTGAGACCCTAACGAGGAAGAAAGGCTAAGACCTCCCAGCTCTTAATTACTGCCCTTCAGCTGGAGCTATTTGTCTTACAGCTGCATTATAGCAACAGACTGTGTAAGTGCTCTGAGTCCCTTTTGGTACGAAGTCAGACCACTTTGCCATTGCATACTTGCCCCTTAGGGACAGGCAGGGACATTGCTGGGTTCCTCTCTCATTACAACAGCCTCCTGTACGCTGGTAGGACTTGCAGCCTTGCTCCCATCTGTGGTGATCATAGACACGTCTGTGTCCCACACAAATGCCCCACGGAGCGTCCTGTAGCACCTTGCAGGGAGCTGCCTGCCTCAGAAAACTGTGTTTGCTCCTTCCAGAAACTACACAGTGGTGAATCCTGAGAAAGGAGTGATAGAAGTGGAGAGGATGAGCTGCCCAGGAATGAAGCTTTGCTGCCAGCTGAAATTTCAGAACATGCTCTGGGCCGCTACGGAGGTAAGTGTCACCTGTGCCTCGCTGCCCTGCTGAAGGGAGACACGAGTGGTGAGAAAGAGCCCGTTAAATTAGCAAAGCCGGGAGCGGGTGAGACACGGGCGAGCAGCCTGGCGCTGCATCTGCCATCTCCTGGTGTGTGGTTTCCATCTGTTATTTAGCCAAGCTCTAGATTGAGATCGTGCCTCCTGGCGTTCCACACGGTCGTGGGAATCTCGGCTTTCCAGGGTGAAACTCTCCAGGTTGTGCCATTTCCGTCCTGAGGGTTTCATCTGGAAAATGTCCTTATCTGTAAGTGATAACAGCAAGCAGTGAGAGAAACCATGCATTAAGGATGGGGTTTTGCAAGAGGCCTGAGGGACTTGAAAATTGGTGGGAATGGGCACCCAAGCTTTCTATTTGCCATGGAAAATTGCGGCTAAAAAGATAAGATTGAGTGAGCTTGGCTGATTCCTCTCTGTGGGCCTCCGAATACGGTCTGTAAAGGGCTGTGTTAAGTGTCTGCTGGTCCTGACGCAATCTTTTGACACAAAGCAAACAAAAAAATAGCTAAAACAAATTGAAGTATGTTGCTAAAATTCAAAAAGGATAAAATGGACATGCAGGCTGACTGAATAATGTGTGCTGGTTATTTCACTCAGCCCTAGTGAACTTATTGGCACTTAGTGAGAGTTAAGATCTGTTTTCTCCTTAGGAAAGTAAGATTTTTTTTTCCAACATCTCTAATCAAGGCAAAATTCAAATAGTCATCTTTTTTTTTCATTAAAAAAGTATAAAAAGATTTCGAATCAGAAATCTTAAAGCATTTTATTTCCACTCTTTAGATCAAAGTTAAATGCATTGGTGTTCTCCAAATTGGATATCCTCTTTCATTTTGGTAGATTTACAAGGTGTAGAGCACTTGTAATTTCACATACAAAGTAATATTGGCTTTACTTGAACTGACAGCTTAATGTAAAATAACATACAAGTTTCAGTTATTTTGGCAAACCTCCTGACTTGTTCTGGTAGGTTTGTGTGGAGTCAGGGATGTCAAATGTTGCTTTGGACATGGTGATAAACCCCCTGCAGTGGTGGTTTTGGAGGCTTTTGGGCAGTACACATCTCATCCATAGCTGTTCAGGGGAAGGCAGTACCCTCTTTGCACCCACAGACACCACAGATACTCTCCAACAAAACAAATAGTTTGAATATCCAGAAATACAAATACAAAACTGTTTGGGAAGCCAACTTGATCTTGCTTGGGTCTCAAAATGTGAAAATCAAGAGAGGTGACTGAAATACCTGGGATCCTATGTGCTCCTTGACAGGACCAGAAGATTTCTGTGTACGGGCTGCAGGGCATGTGTCCTCTGAAGGTGCCGCAGAAGGGCTTGGACACTCCCGCTGCCGTGAGCTGCTTCCTTGTCATGCCCGTCGTCAGAAAGGTAAGCAGGGATCTCGGGGTGCTCCTGGGACAGGCTGCCAGCCTTGGGGCTGCCTGGAACAGCCCTGAAGGACTTTGCAGTGCCCAGGGACGATCCGGCAGCACGAGGAGAGGGTTTCAGCCCAGCCAAGGGCAGAGGTGTGGGCTTGAGCCCCAGTCAGGGGACCGGAGCCGGCGCTTCCATGCCTGCTGGGAAAACAGTCCAAATATATCCAGTTCCTCAGCAAGGAAGTTTTCCAGCTGTGTTTCTGCATCACTGGAAGAGAAGGTTTAGTCTGATCAAGCAAAGTACAGGGGATATTAATGAGTAATTAGAGCAGACATTTGTTAACTGCTGATGCCTGAGTTTATCCTAGCTCGTGTACCCGCTCCTTTCCTGGGGTGTGTGCGTGCTGTTATTTGTGCACATAATTATCTTTAAATATTATCTGTACTTAGCCACACTTCCCTTTATTTTTGGATGAGAACATTTAGATAACAAAAGCAACCCAAGAACTGCTTCCTATGGGTAATGACAAAAGTTATATACTATCTGTCTGCTTCTGGAAATGCTCACATCCCGCTGTTGGCAAGAGAAATCTGACATTACTGCCTATTGCGGGCAAGTCTTGGGAGATGTATAAAAACTGTTTTCTGGCTAAATTACCTCCGGTTTTTCTTACAGCCACCTGGAATAAAAACATATAATTACGTTCCAACATTACTGGTAACTGTGTAGTTTTTGCAGATGCCAGCAGACTGGTATGTGTCTAAAAGCTCAGTATGGAGCAGTTCTCAGCGAGGCAGTGGAGCTGTTTCGTGCCATGTGCCGCTCCGCGTTGCTGTCCCTTCCTGGCTTGTTTGCTCAGGCTGCTGCACGGCCGTAGCCTGGCAGATGGTCAGTGTAAGGTGGAGCACTTCGCTTCCAGCCGTGCTGTAAGTAGGGCTGAAGTAGGACACATTGCTGGGGCTGGCGCGGGGCTGGATTTCCCGCGCCAGGAGGCTGCATCTGTCGGCTTGCTTTGGCTCCCAGACCTGCAGCCGTCCTCCCCGTTTCTGATGTGCAGGGCAAGTTTCTTTGTCGTGCTGCCTGAGTCTTTCCCTTTCAGCTTTTCCACTGTCATACGGCTTTGCAGAGCCCTTCCTCAGGGCTTATGAGTGGCTCGATGTCTCCTGGTTTCTATTTTCAGTCTGTGGCTTGCCTAGGAAATGTCATAAATAATGCCAGGCCCTACAATAGGAATATTGAGTCTAGACACCTCCCTTCCTCCCCCGACCCTACCCAGGCTTCCAGCAATCCGCAGCCCTTCGGCGCGCTCCCGCTTAGCTTATTGTACTTGAGTTTCTCCTCTCTCCTTTCTGTGAATGACTTTGGCAGTGAAATAGCCACAGCAGCAGCCACGGGGATGTGCAGAGCAGGTTGGCCAGAACCGTTTTTCGGAGCAGCCAATTCTTCCAGAAGAGCTAAGTGGAAAGGCCGAGTTACACTCGTGAAACGCTCTGCGCGGAGCAAGGAGTTAGAGCAAAGTTATGGAATCACTGGTTCTGCCTGGTGGAGGAAAGAGACACTGGGAACATCGGCCTTTCCCAAGGAAGAGAGCCATGCAGCTGATGGGATGGGAGGTAGCTTGCCGAGGCCTGGTGCTGGGAAGGGGAATTCTTCAGCATTGCCTTGGGAAGCCCGATCCAAGAGAAATAATTTCCAGAGCTTGGCTTTTCATCCAAAAGAAGCATCATGGAAATTTAAGAGCAGCAGAGAGGGGCCCAGAATCCAAAACCTGGCCTCTGAGGAAAGATCATGTAAAATCTAGCTTTTCTGTAGATATTTTCTGTCACTGCTATCATCACCTTTGGCAAACAATAAAATGCCCTATAAATTTCCTTTCAGAAAAAAAACAATCAAGCAAGCAGGTTAAAAAGAGCAAAAGAAGATGCTTCCTATGTGATTCGTGGCATTCGCACAAAGAAACCTTGAGGCGAAGAGCAGTGTGAAGGTGTGCGAGGCCCTGGCCTTTTGCAGAGAGAAAAAAAGAAAAAGAAAAACACCCTGGAACAGGAAAAAACAAAAGCTGCATTTAAAGTGTGCAGCCCGCGGCCGTGTCCGGTGCCAGCCCTGTGGGAAGGAAGGGACCGCGGTGCCGGGGGCGTTTGGACCCGCTCGGGCGGCCTCGCCGACGGCACCGGGGAGCCGGTGGGTGCGCGGCCGCGCTCCGAGGCCTCCTCGCCGGCTCCGCGGGGCCGCCGGCTCCACGGAGCCTTGCAGGGCCCTGCTCTGCTGCCGTGTTTTTCTTGGCTCCTCGCGGAGCGGAAATGTTGAAAGCGAGTTCTGAGAAAGTTACTTAAGGTTTCTGGAGGCTGCTGCCCTGCTGCATCGTCCAGGCTGGAGGGCTGTGCCGCGCTGGCACCGCGCAGCAGCCCCGGGGACGGGCGGCCTTCGGGCGCTCCTCGGAGCGGCAGCGCGCTCCCAAGGGTTCCTTGGATCAGCACGGGAATGCTCCCTCCTCCTTCCCTAAATGAGGAGATAACATCAGCAGCTGGACAAAGCAGGTTCTGGTGTCCCAGGCTGTGAGTAATAAGCGCCTCTCTGCATAAAACATCTTCCAAAACTGCTTCCACTCCTGTGATATCCTAGGACAGGCTGAGATTTGGCAGGGGGAGCATCATTAGCAAGGCAGAGTGGGTATAAGTGCTGCAGCTCTGCCAATTAGAGCATTGATTTTCCTTGTGCCAGGAGAATTTGGCCTCTTAAATCCAACAGGGAACCTTGGTTGTGTTTTGCAGTAGCTGACACTAATCAAGGAAATCAAAATATTTTTTTTGAAGACTATGCTTGAGTAATTCATCGTTTTCAAATCAAATGAGAAAACCACAGAGAACTGTGAGGGCTTAATAGTGTCTCCTGTTGAGGTAGGAACCTTTGGAGTTGACATACCCACATTACATTTAAGCAAGCCAGCTTAAGTACATTAGTAGTGTAGCCCTGGCATCAGGGAACTCACAGGCCTTTTAAAACGTGGCTGATAATGAAACTGGACAGTAATTTCCTGTAGGTCATTAAAAAGATGAAATTAGACCTTTTAATTTCACATGCTCTCATTTTGATATAAACTTTTCAGTAAGAAATACTTGGTATGCAAGGTCTCTTGCATTGGAAAAATTGGATGATTTTCACCAGAGAACTGCAGGCTGTTCTGCTGTGTTTTCTTCTGTTTTAAATAGTCAAACTCCTTTCCAAAAAATAAGAAGAATATAATCCCCGCTTGTGCAAAGCATCCCACCATGTTCCAAGCTCCTGATGCAACTCCCTGGCAGGCCAGGTCTGGGAGGCTTTGCAGCAGCTGCACATGGCAGCAGGACATGGCACCGAGCTCTGCAGGCCATTTGGGTTTCTTTTTATTAGCGGTTAGAGAATTGGGACAGCACTGAGTTGGAGTAAAAGTCCAAGTCCGTTTCACAACTTTCCACTTGCTTCCCTGGTTTTTCCCATTACAGGAGAACTCTGCCGTGATCTGAATTAGTCACCCAGCCTCAGCACGCTCGTGGCTGCGCTCAGACTGCGTGCAGATAATGTGCTTTTGTCCAGCCCTCCTTAGGAGCCCTAAACAGCCTGGACACTCAACTGATACCCCTGTGCTAGCCGAGGGCTGCCCCTTGCTGCCCGAGTTCGATTCAAGATGCTGATTTTGCTCTCGGTGAAGTGAAACGGGGGGGAGAGGTTCCCTTAGGGGGCTGGCATGGCCCAGGGCCGGGCTGTGTCACTGCGTCCCGGGGACGCAGCCGGGAAGGGGCCGCTGCAGGCAGAGGTGACCCTGGGTCCGTGGAGCTGCCCCTGGACACGCTGCTGCCTTTACTGGGCCCACCGGAACAGCGGCAGGAAAAGCCCTGGCCAAAAGGGTCTTTTTTAGCGTTCATTGCTCCACGTGGGGGGACGCGAAGGCCCTCGAGGTGGGTGTGGGTTCATCTGCTTTGCTGGTGCCTGGAGCCTCGTGGCCGGGCTCCCGGGGCGCAGGCTCCTCTGGCCGTTTGTTGAGCTGCTGCTGCTCCTGGGGTTTCCCAAAGCTGTCTGAAATCCCAGAGCAGGAGCAGTTCCTCGGAGGAGCCGTACCGCGGAGTCGATGCACACGTTGCTGCCTGCCCTTGCCTGCTCGAGGACCGTCTCTATCCTTCAAAGTCCTCCTGCATTTTCTTCCATTCCTCTCCTAGCCGCGCTGTGCTTTACTCCTTTTTGGAAGTGGGCTCCCACCAGGAGTGAGGACCTCGCTAGGACCACGCTGGCTGCCCCTCAGCATATCCCAGTCGGGCAGGCTGCCAGGTCCCTCTCTCCTTCCTTGACAGTGAATAGCGAGGCGATGCTGGGCAAGAGGCTTTCGTGTAATAACTTCTTTATGTGTTGCTGTTATCACGGAGTGGTTTGGGATGTCAGTCTGCTTACAAGGTTGGGAGAGGCAGCCAGGGCCTGGGATTGAAAGCCCTTGTACTGAACAGCAGTAAAGAAACCAGACAGCGGACCTGCCGTCTCTTCCTTGCAGAACTCCTACGTGGTGCTGGCCGGGCTGTCCGACGGACTCGTGGCGGTGTTTTCAGTGGTGCACGGTATCCCCGGGGACAACTGCTCCTACCTGTGCTCCCACACAGCCAACAGGTCCAAATTCAACATTCCCGACGAGGACCCGCGGCAGAACCCGTACCCCGTGAAGGCCATGGAGGTGACGCAGAGCGGCGCCGAGGTCTGGTACAGCAACGGGCCCGGCGTCCTCGTCATCGACTGCGCCACCATGGAGATCAGCAGGAGGCTGGAGCCCTTCAGCCCACCCTCGGTGATCACCTCCATCGCGTGCAACTCCGAGTGCCACGGCGAGGAGGTGGCCTGGTGCCTGGACGACAAAAGCAACTTCCTGGTCATGTATCACGTCAGCACCTACCAGCTCTGCGCGCGCTACTTCTGCGGGGACTGCAGCCCCCTCCGGGACATGTTCACCATCCAGCAGCCCTGTGCGGCCATCCCGGCCACGACACCCATCAACCGCAAGGCGCCCGAGAGGAACTCGCTGGTGGATATGAGCATTATCTACAGCCCAGAGGTTGGCACCCAGATCCTAAACCACCAGGACTCGCTCACCGATTATTGCTCTGTGTCTTCCTACTCCTCCTCGCCTCCTCACATGGTCGCCCGCTCCTCCTTCAGCCTGCCCAGCTCGCCCATGAGCTCTTCCAGTGCGCCGCTTTCCACCGATTTTGAGGAGTCTGACAAATTTCATGACCTGAAGCCGTCCCCAGACCATGATGCGATGCCTGCGGGCGACCACGCGCAGCATCTCCAAGCTGTGAAGATTCTGGCTGTCAAAGACCTCATATGGATCCCCAGGTAGGTGGGTCAATAAAGCAACTTCATCTCAAACCTTCCTGGCAACACAAGCCTGAGCTAGTGGAAGATGCAGGAACTTCTGTGTCCCAGTGTGATACAGCTGCCTAAGAATCAACTTGACATCAACTTTTCTACTGCCTTTTAAAGGTATGTAGTGCTGGGTGGAATGGCTAAATCCAAGGTGTAAAGGGCTTTTCTTGGAGCAGAATGAAAAAGTGGCTGGCGAGAGCCCAAATCCCGTTTCCCCACCTGCTGAGGAAGCAGAGGCAGCTTCCTCGCTCCCCCGGCCAAGCCCAGTGCCCTCCTGTTGGGCTTCACCAAGACCGTGGCCAAGATCCTGCCTGTCCCAAGGGCACTCACTGTCCCCAGCACACAATGGCCCTTGGTGGCATTGCAGAGCCCCCTTCCCATACGGAGAGGAGGGGCTGTAGCACGGGGGGACGTTTAACCTGTGTTTCCTCAGCTGCATCATCCCCGTTGCCGAGTGCCCGTGAGGCCTCACTTGCTTCTCTTGCAGGAGAGGAGGGGACATCATCGTGATCGGCCTGGAGAAGGAGTGCGGCACGCAGCGCGGCAGGGTCATCGCCGTGCTCAAGGCCGGCGAGCTGGCTCCCTACGGGTGAGACTGCCCCTTCCGTGGCGGGTGCCGCGGGGACGGGGTGGCCGGAGGAGGGTCAGAACCCCCGCGCACACGCGCGCCCGCCTTGCCCGGCACACGGAGCGCAGAACAAGCGGCGCATTTAGGCCCGGGCGGGCGCTGCTGCGGCCGCATTCCCGCGGATCGGGGTGATTCCTGCCGCCTCTAAATGAGCACTTTGTGCTGGCGGCGGCCGGGGCCGGGGAGGGGCCTGGGAGCGGCGGGGGGCGTTACACGCGCTCCTTGAAACGCTTCCTACGGCACCCGGGGCACCGAGTCAATAAAAAACGGCCGGGTCCCGCTGACCATTTAAATATCGGTGTGGGCTTGCACTGTTTCAGTCCAAGAGATGGGCGCTAAGCAGCACTAAGGGTTATAAATGATCTGCTATTACCGCTGACAAATGCAGCGGCAGATGCAGCTTGCTCCTTCCGTCCCCCTAGTTACCAGTAGAGCGACTGAGTTGACAGCGGGATGTTTTTATTGTCCCCAGCTCCCATTAGGTCAGGTCACTTTACCCAGTTCATGAGGAGGAATTGGGCATGGAGTTAG